CTGTAATGATCTGCGCATGCTCTGTAGGACCGCTCGTGGGGAGGGTAAATTGTTAGATTAGAGCTCACCAGGCTGAGGTTGGCTTCTTATCGGAATTTTCCATTCCACCTTAAATGGTGCAGCTTTTGCATCCTGGCGCCTGTACAAGTACCACGATGTTGCTGCTCCGTTTAAGGTGGAACGGAAAATTTAGGTAAGAAAATCAGCTCAAATTTACTGAACTGACGGACTAAACGGAGACAGTCTGGGAGTGGTCTGGAGTGGAAAGGTGGAACACCCCCCCCTCTCTCTCTTTCTGTCTCTCCTTCTCTCTCTGTCATTCTCTGTCACTCTCTCCTCTCTCTCTCTCTCTCTCTCTGTACACACTCCTATTATATGGGATCGTTTAGAAAACCTTAGACAACCTTTTTAGTTCACACATCTGAAAAATAAACCCTTTTATCTAAAGTTCCCTGTCAGTCCTCATAAAGCCATAGGAGACCGTTGCCAGAACCTTAATTGAAAGGTTTCCCAAAAATAACCGAAAAGAACCTAAATGTAACGTTGCCGGAACGTTGTGTTGGTGTTCGCTGCGCGCGCCGTTACAGCTGCGTCATCGTAGCGGACATACCGGTTCATCACGAGCTGAGATAAACAAAGCGCTCTGCTTTAAAATCAGCGCTAGTGCTGAGTATCAGTGCCTGCAGGTCACTCACCCTGTAGGAGACTGAAGACTGAGATTCACTGAGAGTTTATCCTCTGTCTCTCTCCGTCACAGCGCAGCTCCTGAAAGAGTTACTTTCGGTTTCACATCAGTGACGCACAGAGTGACGCACAGCTGGGCGGATCCGTCTCAGCATAAACCCTCATATTTAATAAACTTATCAACACCAAATTCTGTATTTAAACAGCTATTCTGTTGTTTTTTGCTCATGTAGGCACTGAAAAAAGTGAAAAACGCTTAAATAACTGCTGTAACTGTACTCTGGTCTTTATAAACACACTCAGGCCTTTTAAAACTGGGTCAGTCACAAGGATAAGCGTGAGGACAAGGACGGAGTAAAGAGAAAACAGTTTGCTGGGGGGAGAAGAGAAGTTACATATGTGCAGTAAATTGAGAAAACACTGTAATGTGAATAGAAATATATATATAGCCTTCTTTGTTCTTAGAGTTTCCAATGGCCATAAATAATTTGGATTCCAAATTGTAGACTGGGAAAAAAAGACCTGATGTTACTGAATTTGCATTAGTGAATATAGAATTTAGCCAAAAAAAAAAAAACACACCAAACAATACAAAAGTAAAGAGAAATCAATGAAAATTTATTGTATATTTCATTTGAGCAGCACCAGAATAGATAAAGAGTTCCAGGGCGCTCATTAGAGCAGCTGCAGCTGAGGCTGAAGGCCCTCCACACTGCAGCGTGTGTGAGGGCTGAGATAAGAGGGGGTCGTGTTACAGAAACCTCTTAACTCTGAAATCTGATCTGTTTAGTCTCCATGACAACTTCAGTCCTGACTGAATTTCAGACAGTAGCTATTGCAGAATAACAGCTCCTAACCTCATAATCTCATCATGAACTCCAGATAAGAAAACAGCATCACACAAACATCCTAACTAGACTAAACCTCCTAAATCCTGTCCTAACTTCAGGATGAACCCCAACAGGGTCCTCACTTCTGTTTAAGGTCCGTTTCTATGGTTTTTAGGCAGCTGAGTCAGCAGCATAGTTCACTACCAGCATAATGAGCTCCATTTATTCCTACTGTAAAACGCTGCTTTCACTGTGAGATGATTTTCTTTTCTAACTCTGCGTTTTAAAGATCTCAGACGCTGCAGACTCGATCTCCACCGCCCCTCTGATCACCTTCGTGTGTTAATGTTGATGATGAAATATTACAGTGATGGTGGTGAATAATGAGGAGACGGAGCTGAACGCGTGTCTGTTTATTAGGAGGAGTAACGTTAGCGCGCTCGGCTAAAGCGTCTGGGAAATGGAGACTGAAACTGGGGAGCCACGCTCTGATAAACAGTAGGGGGCGCTCTCACAGCATTCACAACTCACTGTTTATCACACTTTAGTTTTAACCTTTTTTAACATATTTTTAACATTATTTTTATTTTGTGTTTACATTTCAGCTGTGTGCAGATTGTTGCTAGGTAACAGACATCTGTTATTTGGTAACGATCGTCTTCGATCAAGTAGGTTAAGATTTCCTAACTGGAGATAAGATACTGTAAGGTAATATTGATCATTTATGATGAGTTCCTTTGTGAAAACCTTGACCTGTCAGATCTAAACTTAAAAGACAGGACGTTACTTTAATAAACCATAACTCAGCTTTGCTAGAACAGAACACAGGATGGTGAAAAGATGGTGCTCTGCCTCAGGTTGACTCACTGCTACTCCTGTTAGCGCTTTTCTTTAGCTACCTAGCCCTGTGTAGCTTGCTACCATAACAACTAATCAGTACTCACCCTGCTTTTTAGAATAAGAGTCCCTGAAGAATGTGGGTTTCTAATAAACTTTAAAAATGAATGTTAAATGAATGAATAAAGGTTTGATAAAAATGAACCTGACTGGAGTGTTCTTACCTTTTAGAAGCGCGCTCCTTATTGCGGTAGTTGAAGTGTAGAGGTGTGCAGTTTGGGACAGCGTTATTTCAGCACTGGACACGCGCTCTTTAGAGTAATAGGTGAAGTCCTGAAGAGTCGGATCAGCCAGTGAGACGCTCTGCTGTGCTGTTCATTAAACTTCTCCAAGAAGTAGTCTTTCCTGATTAAGGTGCATTTATTGAGATAAAGTAACTGTCAGCAATTCACTATCTGGCCACCAGAGGTCTCTCTCTCTCTTCAAGTACTAGCCCTCCTCCCAGAATTGAGCCACCTGCACCTCATCATCTCCCTCATCAGTCACACCTTAAATACTCGTCCAGTTCAGCCAGTCTGTGTGAAGTGTTACCAGTTCTTTCTGTCTGCCTGGTGTTTTGAATTTCTGCCTGACTTTGTGGAATCTGCTTTTGCTCTTTGTCCCTTCTGCTCTGTCTGCCTGGCCTTTTGGACTGATTCTCTGTTATGACCTTTTTGCTTTGCCTTTTTACCACGAGTTTTGGATCCCTCACAAGGTTCTGAGTCTGCTTCGTCACTGTAATGAATTTATTTAGACAGATAAATGGATTTCTCTTCAAATAAATTTGTCTTTGTTGAGGTAAACTGATGTTTTTGTATTCGCCAGCTTGTTTCTTGAAATTTTGTTCATGTGTTGCACCTGAATGTAACTGCAGCGCTATTTAAGGTGGAACAGAAAATTCTAGAAGCTGGTGAAAAGCTGCTCCAGCTTAATTGTCTTTATTAATTAAGATCTTTGGCAGTTTTGATGACTGTGTTTATTAGTTTTTAATAAAATCTCTTACACTCACATGTTCTGAACTCTGGAGATGTGCAGGTTATACTGATCCACCAATCAGCTGATCTTCTCCTTGTAGTGTTTCTGGAGACACATCTAAAGTGTCCATGTCTCTGTTCATGTGTTTGTGGTCATTCTGGTCAGTGTTGTTGGTGTTTATCCTCCTGCAGGGCTGTATCTGCAGTAACGGTGAGATGAGCTCCATCAGAGATCAGTCAGTTTTACCGCTGGCCTGCCAAAATGGGGCGGGGCTTTCTTAATGACATCATCCAATTTCAATACAATGAATCCACCTTATTTTGTCTGTCAATTGAACATCACTGTTTCAGACTCACTTTAATGGGTTTACACTTTATATTCTCTTTATAAAGTCCATAAAATCTCAGCAGGCTGGACAGATAGCAGAAAGCTAGCTTGCTAACAGGCTAATGCTCCAATAATAAAAGACAGTCTTCAAGTTCACCTTAAATAAAGTGCCTCTTAAAAACTGAGATATACCAAGTAAAGAATGGTACTTACAGGCCTGTTATGAACTACAATTGTCCAGTTTAAACTACAGCAGACATCAAAATCCAATATAGCACCGAGCTAAAGCCATTAGCTTGATGCTAACATAGCTAACTACCATGGTGAACATAGAAGGAGCATTATTGAAATGCTGGTTTAAAAACAGATATTTTTACATTAGACATTGCTGAGTAAAGGCTCTGCTCTATGGTTCTCTGTCTGTATCTGACTCTCAGTGTTAAAATAACTAAACAGTTTAAATTAAATGACTTCATTAGCATGAATAATCAGTGTAGCTGTAAATATGATCCACTCACTAAAGAGTTTCTCTCACAGATTCAGGTTTATATTGACAGATCGATTGTGAACATCAGCACACAAGTATTCAAGCATCCCAGCAATAAAGATTCTGGATGGTTTTTATTTATTCCCACATTTTATTATGGATGGTGCAGGATGTTACGGGCATTCAAAATATGTCACTCAAAGCATCATGGGATGCAGGAATGAGGTGGTACACTAGTTAGCATGGCGGCTAACTGTTCACCTCAGATCAGAGAAAGCCAACCGCTAAGGCGTTTACACCGAGACAAATATTCATTGTGGAAAGTAAATAGTGCTGTATGTTCTTGTGGTTTTGTACATGTGCAATAACATTGTTTTAAATGGCTATTGTTTACAGATGTGATTTTTTGCTGTTTAACTGCTCTGCTAAAGCAGTAGTTTTTGTGTTTTTAATTTTCTCACACTGGTTGGTGAAGAGAGAACCACACAATATGCAGAAGTGGCTGAAATTACAGCAGACCAAAACACTGTTTTGGGAGGAGTTACAATAATGTTAGCCTTTGAGTGCTAAATGCAGTGCCATGAGTTGTGAGGAAGAGTAATGCAAACAGTTAGCATCAGCTAATGTTGACCATAACTATGAACAGTTAGCCATCTGCTAAATGATAATGTTAAGAAGAAAAAGCCGTTTTTGTTTTTTTTTACTTAAAAATCGAGATCTTTTTTTCATGATTTGGGCCCTTTAAGTGTTTTACTTTGCCAACCATTTATTCCTTTGAAGATCTGAAAGTAAGAAACAGTAATGAACATCATAAACAACAGTTTAGTCCTTTAAACAGCCTTTATTGTTAACACACACAAGGTGTTAACAGGCAGAATCAGTGATTACAGTTCTGTTCACATTCACAACAATAAACCTTCAAACACGCTACACAAATACAATACAAAACAAACCAACAATCAATTGGTTTAAAATGGGTAACAGTAAAACTCCGTCTTTCCAGCTTTAACTAGAGCATGGCTTACCTAAATACCTAAAAGAGAAATGTTTTGATTTGTCTTATTTTCCACATGACCACAATGATCTTGACATCATCACAGCGTGACAATGGTGACCTACAAGTAGATGGATTTTGTTTTTTTAAGTTATTTTATAGTAAATAAAACATTCTCTGTGGTTTATATTTCATATCTCAATAATTCTGGGCATTATTCAATTATTCTAAAGCATTATTATAAAGTGTTAACAGTCAGAGTTCTCATTAAAAACAGTAACAGTTTATACATTTTAAAGTCTGCCTTTACACACCAACTGTGACACGTTTACACGATCAATAAATTAATCTAAACACATGTATAACTAGTCATACTGAGTGTGATTCATCCAGACCATCAATAAATTAAGATCTGGAGATCTGATCTGAGTTTCAGCTCCTGAATGAGGTGGTGAAGCTCTCCGCTCTCCTTTAGCTTTTACAGAGTGGAGAGTGAGGAGCGCAGGATATTCTACACAGACCTTCTGACCGTTTTTTCATTTTCTTTCGCAGCAGAACCGCACACACCCTCCTAATAAAAGTTTAGTTGTTAAAAAAAATTTGACTGAATGTTTCACATTTGTGTTTTTTCGTTTCTCGTTTGGGGTGTAAAGGCCTGTAGATCCACAGCACAGTGATCCATCTACAGCCAACTCAGAGTTCTATCACACAATCAATAACTGATCACTTTTAAACAGTCAGAGCTGCTGCTGGCTGATCATCATTGGTTCACTCCTACAAGTCCACTTCTGTATGAACTCAGCACTGAGTGTGTGTTAGTGAGCTGTGAGCTCTGTGAGAAACTCATCCACACTTCTATCAGGAGCTGAAGGGTGAACATGCTGCCTTATAGCTGCTACAGACTCTCTGAAATCAGATGAAGATGAAATCAGACACAGCTGAGCTGCTGCTAGTCGGGGTGTCAGTGTGTCGGGGTCTTTACGGTGTTTCTACACTGACTGTGTGTGTGTTGTGTGTGAGAAAGACTGAGATCTACCAGACAGTCTCTGTGCTTTACAGTGGAACTAAACATTTACAGAAACAGTCAATCAGAGGTGGGAACAAGTCTCTAAGTTGCAAGTAACAAGTAAGTCTCAATTCTTGACACTTGAGCCCCAAGTACCGAGTTAAATCCAAGTTCTAAACGTCGAGTCCAAAACAGGTCAGTGTGCATTCTTTAGGAAGTGCAATGCTACTTTAACAACAATATAATAGAAATAGTGATATAGCTAATTTTATGACAGTATGTTAGTAAGATATGGTAGTATACTAAGTGTGTTTTTGTTTGTTGGTTATTTTTGGATTTCACAGGGGAGTATGGGATCAGAGGCACCAAAATGTAACTGCTGCACCAAGGAATGCAAAATTAGAATATGAAGCGAGCAAATGAAAAGGCAACTTCATCCATGTGGTGAAAGATATAACTGCAGAAATCTTTAAAATCATTAAAAGAGAGAGCTCTGTGATATCATCTGCAATGTACCCTACTCTGACTGCCCCCCACCCCGATTATTGCCAAATGATAATACTATCTTTTTGGGAGGTTTAACAAGCACAACAACAGGTGGAAAAAATATCTACCTAGATTACATTCTACAGCCAGACATTGTATTATAGCAGATTTAGGACAAAGACTAACATTAAAAGGAAACAGATCAAAAGAGAGATATATGTACTTTTTGTATCTTAAAGCCAGACATTGAGTGCTTTCGGACAATAATCCAACTTAATTGACCATCAGGATAGATGGATGCTATCAGCGAATGGAGATAATATTGCCAGTCGGCCTTAAGCCTAGCTCTGTTTCTATCGTTTAACTGCCATTAAAAAAATGGTAGGTAAACTAAAACTGGAGTTTAAGTGCTGAATGAGGGCTTATTCACTCTATTGATGCTGTTGATGCTTTGCTTGTTTCTTCCCCTTCAGTTGTAAGTCCAAGTCTGAGTCATTGGTGTTCAAGTCAAGTTCAAGTCTTTTTTGATGTTGAGTCAAATCTCAAGTCATCAAATTTGTGACTTGAGTCTGAGTCCAGGTCATATGACTTCAGTCCACAACTCTGCAATCAATCTCAACAAGTCAGAAACCTGTTAGCTGATGCTGAGCACACACTGCAGAACATTCATCCAGAGTTTAGTCCTGAATCAAAACGATGCAGTCTTAAACCTTAGAACCAAGAAAGAGACAAAGAAAATCTGTTATAATATAGACAGATAGCCAAACATCATTTCATATATAACAAATATTACTGTGATAGTTTTTTGCAAAAACAAAACATGTAAATTTAAGCTCACTGATTGTTCTGGCAAAATATTGTCTAGTTAGGTTTCTATTTCAATTAAACATTTCAATTTTTGATTGTATGTAATTCATCCATAAAGAATAGAAGATTAAAATCATCTTTCAAAAGGAAAAAATCCAAACCTCATCCATCTACAAGTGAAGTGGACACTCAGTGTATCTCAGACTGAGTAAATCCAGCATGAACCCAAATGAGGAACATACTGCAGTATCTGGTGCTGAGCTTCAGATGTGTGTGAACTGGAACCGAGCAGCTCTGTGCTGTACACTCAGAGATCTGGTTAAATTTACATCTTTACACTAAATTTCACTTGGAGACTGAACAAAGCAAATCTGAATCTAAAACTATCAAAATGAACCAGAACTCTATAGGTAAGTTTTCTCTTTTTGGCCTGACATCCAGCTCTCAGTAGCTGTCAATCATCTTCTACTGTCTCATTAGGTGAGGCAGAAAAAGCTGTCAAGGCTCAGTGATTATTAATTTTAGACAGAGCATCACTCTAAACACTCTCTCTACCAGTAAAGATGATCTAAGTTGGGCTCAGATCAGTTAAATCTTGTGGACTGCAGCTTTTGTATGCTGATCACACACTGGAGATCATTCATCCAGAGTTCAGTCCTGATTTTAATCCTGATTTTAGTCCTGTGCTAATGTTTAAGCTCATGTTGAGCTCTGTCCTTATCTGTATTACAGAATTTGGGGTGTTGAGGATTTGTTTATGGTTGTCTTGATGAATCTCCTTATAAGTGTTCTAGAGTGTTCTATAGAGAAGATGTTCTATAAAGTGGGTTCCTTCAGGCTCTCAGCTCTGCAGAGATCAGTGTTCTCCATCTTCTAGCTCTCTGAATTCAGCTGATGAAGAACTCGTTAATGAGCTGATCAGGTGAATCAGGTGTGTTTAATAAGGAGGAACACTAAACTCTGCAGAGCTGTGGTCTGGAAGGAACCCAGTTTGATTCCTCTGTTCTGAACCATTGAACCGTTATGAGTTGTGTAGCCTGAACTCAGTTCAGCTCAGCTCAGCATTAAGGATGCTGTGTATGCGCTCGGTGCACTTACTTAGAAATCTGCTTATGATCAGGCCTGGGACTGTCCCAAGGTAAAGTGTTATATGCTTCCTCCTCCTTCTTACTGCATTTGTAGGAAGAAGAGAAGGAGATTAGGAACCAGAGGTGGCGGGACAAAAATATTGTTACAAAAATAAAAAATTCTATTTCTTAAGTTCTATTACCTTTCGTGTTATCACCACTTATGACCATTTTGCCTGTTTTTTCGACGCTGCCTTTTTGCCTCACCCTTTGGAATGTTTGTCTTTTTGTACAGGCTGTCTTTCCTAGAATTGACCCACGCTTGTTTTGTGACCACAAGCCTGGATTTTTTGATTCTATCAGTAAAGCCTTCTTTGATTTTCTTTAACCGTGAGCATCTGTCTCTTTTTGGCACGTTACAGAGTTTAATTTTATTATGTTTTGATGGTGGCAATATTGGTACTGCGTTGTAACTGGTTACATCTTTTGAGTGTCTGTATTTTAGACCAAAAACAATCCCAAAAAGACAAGAACAGAGTCGCACAATCTTCAGTTCCTATGCTGATAAATAGTGGATGTAGTAGAGGTTTCACTGCAGTACTCAGTACTTAAATTTGACCTGATTCTTTTGTATTTCTACTGAAGTTGTTTTGGGGAAGGTACTTCTGTAATCATTTTATGGTAGTATCAATACTTTCACTTGAGTATTGATTTAGACTAATCTATCCATCTCTGGTGCAGTATTTGTTAGCTAACATCTCTGAAGAACATCAGGCTGTTTTCATATCCAGTTCATTTTCTAAAAACCCACCACAGTTTGTTTTTTGTGATATTGTATTTCTTTCCTTTGGTTTGGATGGTGGACTGTAAGTGGACTAAATTACACATGTGCATGTTTGTTTATTGGGAAGTTTTGCAGGGATACAAGTGCTCTGTTATTCTCACATTCACCACCATGAAAACAGAGAAACAGAAAATACAGACGCTTATCATCTATGTGTAAACCAGTTTAAATGTAACCGATCAGGTCGGCCAAAAATATGCTCCATGGTCCATGTGCCAAAATCAAACACATATCATTATTTTATTGCTTGTCTCTCGTTATTTCCAGCAGCTCACAGTGCTGGAACGATATGATCATTTGTAAAGAGTGAAATGTTAAAGCAGCAGACAGTACAGTGAAAATGTGCTCTGGAAAAAACATGTTGAATTCCCTCGTGAATTAGTGTGGTTCAGCTGTTTGTGCTGCCTGAATTTGGGTGGAGTTGCATGTCAAAACTGACCTAAAGAAAAAGTTTGACGGGTCCACGTCATCCAAGGCAGGTCTGAAAGCTCCTCTCAGCTAAAACGGAGATTCTGATTGGCTCTGCTGAGGTTTACTCTGTCTGTCTGTGCTGGTCAGCACTTCATGCAGTTTTGGGAAAGTGGAGGTATTTCATGTGCGTGCCCTGAACTCAAAAAGTCATGGGGCATCTCCACAGTATTTAAAAAAAAGGGGTGGATTAAATGCCCACTCACTGGCAGCCCTGTTAAAACTGTATCTCATATTTTCAGATATTCACTGCTCTTAAGGTAAGTGTGTAAAAATGTGGTTTTACAACATTTTGATTGCGTATTTTGTGGAATGAACCTGTGAACAGACATTTCAGGGGGGCTCAAAGAGGGGAAAAAGGCATCATGAAGGTGAAATGTACAGTATAATAATAGGAATAATAAGACAAAATGCTATTTAGATTATGCTTTTCTTAAACCAAAAGCACTTTAAACTAATGTTTAAAACAATACAAAACAAATATGAAACAAAATATCAGTTGTTCATGTAAGATAATCTAAACATCTAAAAAACAAATATAGTGCAAAAACAGACTAATCCAAACATGGTGTTAAACAATTTTCCCAAAAAAAGGGGGAAGAGTTTCTAACACAGTGTGAAAGTCTAGATTTAGAACTAAACAGTGATGTGAACTCAGGATAATCTCTCATTGCCGGAATCACTAAAATATAACTCTGTTTCAATGTAACACTGTTATTATGCTGGAATAAACCCCTGCTCTCTAAAAAAAAAATATTATAAGAGATACTGAACCAGAGAAAGAGCTGAGAACAAGAGTCAGGAGCTCCAGCTACCATGAGGTCTATCAGTGCATCCGCCTGCTCTGTACTTTCTGACACAGGATTCATTATTTACGAGCTCTGTTACTGATCTGATGCATCGCTGTAATGGATTTTGAGGAACAGCAGAGGCAGTTTAAACTACAGTCATTATACACACTGAGCAGGAGGGCACTTATGTTGTCTGAGGGCAAGGAGCCGGGATTTAGTGCTGTGATGATTTTAGTCCTGTGCTAATGTTAAGCTCATGTTCTGTATTACAGAATTGAGGATTTCTTTGTGGTTGTGGTGATGAAACTCCTTATATGTGTTCCAGAGCGTTCTAGAGAGGTGTTCTGGACCACTCTGTCGTAAAAAAAATGATTTTCAATCAAATCTTCATTTTAACCTCAGCTCAGAATTCACCTTGTACGTCCACATTTCAGTAAAGCTGTGCACATGGTGCAATGGAGCTTCTACCAAATCTGGAGACAGTTGGTACAGTATGGAAAATGGAAATCCAAAAGAAAGCAGTGTTTCCTAAAATTTACCTTGACTTGTATTTCATTACAGACAAAATAAATGCAAGATATTTCATGCTTTGTCTGGTCAACTTAATTTCATTTGTAAATATACATCCATTCCTTTATTCAGGCCTGTAGCACATTCTAAATAAAGTTGGGACAGGGACAATTTAGGCGAACGATGAGGTAAATTAAATAATTTATGTGATTCAAAACAGGCAATGTCAACAGATGATTATATTCATGATTTGGTACAAAAGCAGCAATGGTCTAGTGCGTTACGACAAAGAGGGAAGACGTTCTGTAAACTGGGTTCCTTCAGACTCTCAGCTCTGCAGAGATCAGTGTTCTCCATCTTCTAGCTCTCTGAATTCAGCTGATGAAGAACTTGTTAATGAGCTGATCAGGTGAATCAGGTGTGTTTAATAAGGAGGAACACTAAACTCTGCAGAGCTGTGGTCTGGAAGGAACCCAGTTTGATTCCTCTGTTCTGAACCATTGAACCTTTATGAGTCGTGTAGCCTGAACTCAGTTCAGCTCAGCTCAGCATTAGGAATGCTGTGTATGCGCTCGGTGTACTTACTCAGAAATCTGCTTATGACCAAGCCTGGGACTGTCCAAAGGTAAGGTGTAATATGCTTCCTCCTCCTTGTCACTGCATTTGGAGGAAGAAGAGAAGGAGATTAGGAACTGTCTTTTTTATTTTCAGATGTTTAGATCTCTTTGGTAAATGTGTATATTAAAAAAAAATAAAAATCAAAACATTTTGATTGCATATTTTGTGGAGTGGGCCTGTGCAAAGACAAAAAGGCAACATGAAGGTGAAACTTATAGCATATTAATAATAAGAAGAAAAGGAAAAAGAAGAAGAAATTCTATTCATAATGTGTGTCAAGCCTCTTCCCAGCTCCACTGAAACCACTGTTCCTCACTCTGTTGCGAACTCCAACTCCCAGAATCCTCTGGGCTGTCACCTGACTCCAGACTCAGTACCGTCCAACTATTCAAGCTCTGCCTACCCTGATTACTATCTCACCCCATATAATCTGTGTTCACACTCACATGGCGAAGTATTGTGTTAGCCTGCTGTACTGAGACATTTGTTTTTCTTGGTTTTACTGGTTTGTGACTTTGCTTAGCTTTCTTGTTTATGACTTCTGCCTGATTCTTTTGACTCTGTTTTTGTCTCGACTGTACATGCCTGTTATCCAGTCTTTGACTTTTGCCTGTTTTTGGATTCTGTTCCTGGTTTACCCCTTTATTAAGCTTTTAAACCAATAGCCTACTCTGCTCATGCCTAAACCAGCCTTCCAGACACCTCACAATGTGCTTTTCTTAAACCCAAAGAGCTTTAAACCAATGTTTAAATCAATACAGAACAAAATATCAGCTGTCCATGAAAGATGATCTAAAAATTTAAAAAGCAAAATATTGCAAAGACTCTGATAATGAGGAATAGTCTACTAATTTCAGAAAAAACAACAAACACAGTGTTTTTCTAACAAAGTGTGAAATTCTATCTTTAGTACTAAACAGTGATGTGAATTGCAGGAATCACTGAGTTATAACTCTGTAACTCAGCTCTGTCAGTAGCAGTATTACAGAATTTGCGGTGCTTTTTTATGGTTGTGGTGATGAAACTCCTTATACATGTTCTGGAGTGTTCTATATGGAAGACGTACTATACTACTCTGTCATTACCACTAAAGTTCTTGCAGTTTCAGAAATCTGAATCAAACCTTCATTTTTACCTCAGCTTAGACTTCAGCCTGTACGTCCACATTTCAGTAAAGCTGTGCCCACTGTGCACTGGAGCTTCTCTCAGTTACGTTTATAGTTTTTACAACCCCAGAAAGAGCTGGGATAGAATGAAAAATGTAAATAAAAAAGAAAGCAATGATTCTTAAAATTTGCTTTGCCTTGTATTTCATTACAGATGTTATGAACACAAGATATTTCAGGTTTTGTCTGGTCAATTTAATTTAATTTGTACATCCATTTATAGCATTCAGGCCAGCAACATATTCAAAAAAAGTTGGGATGGGGTCATTTAGGGCCAGTAATGAGGTAAAATAATTAAGTGATGATGTGATTTGAAACAAGCGATTGTCATCATGATTTGGTACAAAAGCAGCATCCAGAAAAGGCTTCATCCTTTAGGAGCAAAGTCGGACCAAGAATCGCTACTTTGCCAACAAATGCGTGAGAAACTTATCATCATCATCATCATCATCATCAACTGCTTTGGGAGAGCAGAGAATCCCAGACGATCCTGTTCCCCCGCAACTTCCTTCAGCTCATTCCGGGGGACCCCAAGCCGCTCCCACGCCAATTTATAATCCCTCCTGTGGGTCCTAGGATGACCCAAGGGTCTCGCCCCAGGAGGCCATGCCTGCTAAACCCCCACTGGGAGGTGTCCAGGGAGCATTCCACTCAGATGCCCGAACTACCTCAGCTGCCTCCTATCAATGCAGAGGAGTAGCTGCTGTACTTCAAGCTCCACCTGGATGACCAAGCTCCTCACCCCGGATGACTCAAGTAGAGTGTATCCCGCCACCCTATGAAGAAAGCTCATTTCCGCCGCATGTATTTGCGATCTCATTCTTTTGGTCATAACCCACAGCTCATGACCACAGGTGAGGGTTGGGATTTAGACTAACTTACCAACTACCTCAGTGAACTCCATCAGGGAAATGGAGCCTGACATGCCAGAAGCCTCTGGCCCTGACTCCTGTGAGGGAGTCAAGTCTCTTGGATTAAGGATTTCCTCAAAGTGCTCCTTCCACTAATCGACAATATCCTCATTTGAAGTTAGAGTTTCTCCGCCCCTGCTGAATATAGCTTAAGTGAAGCCACCTCAACTGCTCCTGAGTCACCGGATAGTTGTCCAGAACCTCCTTGAAGCCGACCAAAAGTCTTTTTCCATGGTCCTGCTGAACTCCTCTCATGCCCCGGCTTTTGCTTCCGCAACCGTTACCGCTGCCGCCTTTTTTGCCTGTCGGCACCATTCTGCTGAGTCGGGAGTCCTCCGGGCCATCCATTCCATAAAGGCCTCTTTCTTCAGCTTGACGGCCACCCTTACCACAGGTGTCCACAAGGGGATTCTTGGGTTACTGCCCTGACAAGCACCAACAAGCTTTTGGTCACAGTTATGCTTGGCAGCTTCCACAATGGAGGTTTTGAACAGGATCCATTCAGACTCCATGTTCCCTGCCTCCGGAACATGAGAAAAGCTCTCCCGGAGGTGGAAGTTAAAATCTCTCTGGACTCTTCCCACCAATGAGGTTACATTCCATGTACCAAGAGCCATTTTCCACTGCAAGGGTTCGATGCTGCCAAGGCCTGGCTTCAGGGGTAGGTCCCGGTTACCCTTTCCTCGGCAGGGTACACGATTTCTTGCATCCCTTAGTCATGGAAGATATTTGGATTGAGTTAGTCTGGGTCTTCACTCCAGACCAAGTGTTGTTTAAAGGAATGGCAATGTTACAAAGTGGCAATGCTTTACTGTTTAAACTTTTTTTGAAATATGTTGCAAGAATGAATTGAAACATGTTTATTATGACAAAACAATAAAATCCATGAGGTAAAACCTCAAATAATGTGCTGCTTTACTACTTCCAATCTAATACAGACCAGAATTAATGTACAAATCACTGTTTTCGGTTTTACTTTTAATTTAGCATACCATCCCAACATGTTTTGAGTTGGAGTTATATTATTTAATATATGTGTTCTTCTTTTAAAGGAAAGTGACTGAGCTGGTTAGACACAGAGTCTCCATTATACTGATAAACCTGAGAATGTGTGTGAGAGAGAGAGAGAGAGAGAGAGAGAGAGAAAGAGAGAGAGAGAGAGAGAGAGAAAGACAGAACATACAGAGAGAAGAGAGTTACGAGGCCTATCAGAGTAACAAATAGAAATACATCTGTTAAAATCAGAAAACCAGTGACTACTGTTAGAAGTCTGTAACGAAGATCTGTTAGTATAAATAAAAGAACAGCTCAGCGCATTGTGAGGCATATTTAGTCAATGATTAAATAGTTTGAGTCTGTTCAGCACCAGTATCATAAGGAAGATGAGTGGCATGCAGGTAAAGCTTTCTGCACAGCCTTGGACAGCAGGTAGCTCTATCGTGGTCAAACTGGTCCAGAAGGTGGGTGAGCATCATCAGGAGGGTAAGTGGCATGCAGGTGAGGTTTTCTACACAGTGCTGGACAGCAGGAAGCTCCGTGGTGGTTAAACTACTCCAGAAGGTGGGTGAACAGGGTCATCCAATTCAAGGCAGATGAAGAACAGCATCAGACCACACAGGATGGGCAGTAGTTCAGTTTGGCAGAGAAACATACAGACAGAAAGAGAGAACAGAGTGAGAATTGAGAGAGAGTAAGAACAGAGAGACAGAGAGAGAGAACAGAGAAACTGTTACATGAACTTTATTTAATCATATACCAATGCTTTTTATAAATCCCACCCCCCCTCCATTTAACACACAACCTGCGTCCATCAATGCAAATAAAGAATATACCAGCTCATATGCTTTACACACAGTCAGCTTATCATCAACCACTGAAGGTATTGACCAATACAGCATGACCAATACCTTCAGCACATCAGTTATCAGTCTGTCATAGGCAAACATCACCCTGAGGCGTGATTTGACCAGTAGCACACAGTCAATCACACCTTAACCCTGTAATCTGTTACACCTTTTGAGCCATATTCATAGTTTGGCTTGTCCAAACAGAACGTTCAACAGATGGGACCTATGACACTGAGAAAAGGAGAAAGATGAACCCAAGATAAATATTGCAAATTTAAATGTTACCCCCACCTTTTCATACAGGCCCCTCAAAAGTTGATCCAGGTGTTCCAGGTGCATACATCCAACAAACACATGCTCCTCCGCCTCAGGCCTGCCACAAAAGGGGCAACCATCATCAACAAGAGGGTCAGGGTGAGCAATGTGTTTGTTAGTGGCCAGGACTTCATGAATTACCCTCCACTGTGAATCTCCAGTTCTTTTAGGCACAGGTAATACCCTAAAATTAACCAGGCTGACCTAACTCACCTCACACCCCTTGCCACCAGTGCTCTCTTACCTCTTGTAAAGAATCCATGTTCCTTCCTGCTAATTGTTGAGAACTCACTCAGAGAAGAGGAGGTTAGAAAAGTACCCCTGCCCTCCTCCCAGTCCCTAACAGCTGAAGACACTTGCACCGATGGAAAAGCAGGATGCACATGATCTGGCAGATGGAACATGCTGTACCCCACTTATGAACTTTTTCATCAGTCTCAAAGAATTTATCCCCATTTGCTGTGACAACCATGCTGTCTTCCATGTCTCTCCACCTGGAGCCAGCAGATGACCCAGTTTACTAATTCCACCTACGGTTAACTGGTTCCATAATTAAAATCCATCAATATTTTACTGAAATACATGCACTTGAGTAAATGGAACTAGATACTACCCACCTCTGAATAGGTTTATAAAGACGCCATTAGCATGACATGAAAGGCAATTTTAGTCTTTTTTTTTTCTTTGAAACAACCCCGTAGGCATAGTCATCGCATAAACATTCCCCAGCTGGCTAGACAGACTTTCAGACATCACAAAACAATTTCAGCATGAACCTTCGTCTTCTTCATACAACTCGAGTTCACCTCCTACCATGTCCTCTGCTTCTCTCTGACTATGAGCCACTGAAACATCTCTCACTTTAGACCCGACTGCTCTAATACCTTAGGGTCCTGCCTCCTTCTGAGACCCTACACAACCTCTCTCAGTACTCTGCTCATTCTGTTCAGCAGTACCTGTAAACACCTCACCAGAGAAGTACATTTAATACAACAACTCCGCTGGAAGGCGCTGTCAATAACATTACCCACCAAATTCTTCTTCTTCAGAAAACAACCAGTTTTATTAATACGCAAAGCAGAGTAAATATTCTCACAGCCCACCTGTTCATCCACTGCAAGCTGCACGTCCTTGACAGTAACAATGCCATCAGAAACACACCTGAACCTGTGATGGAGAGACTGTGCCTCTCCCCCAAACTGAGTGGCAAAGCCAAAGGCTCAAACTAACCAAACACCTAAAAGTCCCAAACTAACCCACTCTACAAATGAACAATATAAACCACTAATGCACTTTTAAAAAACGCTACTATAAAAAAGGAGTAAAAGTGAAAAAAACTGGCAGATAGTCCAAAAAACATCAAAGAATTCCCTTTCCACCATTCACACAGAGAGAAAGACAGCGACAGAGAAAAGAGAGAAAGAGAACAGAGGAAAAGAATGGAGAGAGAGAAAGAGAATAGAGAGAAAGAGAGAGAACAGTGAGAGAGAGAAATTTTGCATTTATTTTGTGTTTATTTGTAGATTTAAACTAGCTGCACAAACCTCTTCTCGATCCTTCCTCTGAACAAATACCCCCCAACCCCCGCCACCAAAGCTGCCCCCACAGCTATCAGCACAGTCATCCACACAGGCACACAGGCCACATCTGAGGCCTGTTTTCCATCTGAAAAACACAGACAGAAGAGACGATTTAAACCATGTGGTGTTGATCTGTACAGTGTAGATCCAGAGAATCATTTAATCACCTCATTATTATTTACAGTGTATTACAGTACAGAACTGCTCCACACTAATGACATTAAACCTGATTAATCATCATTTATTACACACAGTCTGCTGTGGAGCTCCTACACAACACACCACAAAGAGCTTTAATCACCTCATTATTATTTACAGTGTATTACAGTACAGAACTGCTCCACACTAATGACATTAAACCTGATTAATCATCATTTATTACACACAGTCTGCTGTGGAGCTCCTACACAACACACCACAAAGTGAGTATTTAATGTAGAAAGAAAAACTCACAGTCATGTTTAATCCTGGATTTTATAGACATTCATTAGAATCAGACCATCTGCGCCCTTTGCACATTCATTTCCGGTTGAAGTGATACATATTTTTACAATAGGATGAGTAAGACACAACGTTTTATTCCATTGTTGTTAGTTTGTTATTTGAGATTATGATTAGTTTGTGAAATTATAAAACAATGCTATTTCTTTATTTTCCCACTGTAAATGACACAAACAAAAATTACAAGTGAGAAAGTGAAGAAAATAGAAGAAGTTTTCAAAACTGTTGTTCTAATGAAAATAGAATGGCCCGAAAATACACCAAACTGAAAAAGGTCCTTTTATTAAAAATTGTTTCACTGACATACCAGACTATTACAATCATGGTATTATTATTATTATTATTATTATTATTAGTAGTAGTAGTAGTAGTAGTACTAGTAGTGGTATTTTAGGTTTTACAGGGTCATGTCCAGCTGTAATAACAGCGACAGAACACATGCAGTTATTAGACTACTGATGGTATAAAGTAGTCTTCTGAGGAGAGCCAACCCGTCATAAACCTGCAGCCACAGATTGTGTGGGCAAGTGTGTATTTGAGTGTCTGAATAGGAGCAGTTGATTAAGATTTTGAAACAGAGAGAATGAGAACTTGGTAACTTAAATGTTTAATAAGTAAGAATTTTGAATATTTATAATTATTAATTAACACTTTGTAAAAGAATTAAATCATATAGCTGAATATTTGAAATAATACAATTTCTACAAACATGTTTTTGCACGATGTCTGTTGCTGTCATAGCTAGTATGCAGTTTGGTTAGTGTTAAAGCTTTTACACTCAACAGGTCTTTTACCCCCCAGTCTTTAAGTCTGTTAGAGGTACAGAGACGTCTAGAATTACTGTCACTGTTAGTAAAACTGTAAAGTAGTAAACACTAGGACACCTCACTGGGATGGAAATGCAGATTGTAATTAAAGTCTGTAGATAAAGCAAACATAGACAGACACAAAGAGTCTCAGGACTGACAGAGTGTAAATGTCTCAGAGAGGACACAGTGAAGGGTCACTACTGTAGTCTGAGTCAGGTCCAGATTAGGAGCTTCATGTCTGAACTGGATTTATTCATCAAAAAATTAATCGCTGTCACATCATCCCCTGAATATCACCAGCTCCTCTGAATTAAGAGGTTAACAAGTTAAATTACAACTGTTGCTGTGTGCGCTAACACTGCTGCACTCTGAACTGACCTCATAAGACTGACCTCACCTGAATAGCCCACGTAGTCCAGCAGGCTCTGTCCAGTGAGGTAGTTCAGAGAGTACTTCAGAGTCTGTCACTTTCAGGCTGCAGTTTGATAGGCTGGTGTTGGTCTATAACAGTGTTGGAGTTTAATAGTAGACTCACTATTATGTGACATCATTTCAGTGGTCAGCAGTGTGAGCTAGACTGCAGCATGTATGTAGCATTATTCATATGTCCACTGTTAAATGACCCACAGATTGTTTAGTAACTTAAGCCTCGTAAAACAGCTGAAAGCTGAGAGGCATTTTACAAGAAACTGTTCAACTTTTGAGGAAAAGTTTTCTGGCACAGAAATACAATGAGGTTCCTCCGAGATTTGGACTCGGATCTCTAGATTCAAAGTCCAGAGTGCTAGCCATTACACCATGGAACCACAATGTGAAGCCAGTCAGAGTTTTACTCTGAAAAAACTATTAGTATTATTCAAAGTTAGGTTCATACATTCACAACATAAATACTTGTTTAAGGAAAACGAAACATTTCAACTGAGAATCATATTTAATACAAAATTTTAACATTTCAAGCATTTCAGCTCTGGTCCTCTAAACCAACTAGTAGACTAATCATCGAGTCCAACAAAAATTATATCAGACTCTTGCATTTCACATAATGCTGATATTTAGGGGTGCGGGAAAAAAATGATTCTTAGATGCATCGTGATGCAGACGTGGACGATCAAAAATCGATTTTCTAGATTTTAATTTATACTGTAATGTTGATGGAACGCAAAGGGAGGAACTTGGAAGTGGGTAAGTGCAGCACCCGGACAGAGAGTGATCATAGTGATGATTAGATTGTTCAGTGTGATGATTAGAGAGTGAACAGAGTGATGATCAGAGTGTTCAGTGTGATGATTAGACAGTGATAAGTGTAATGATTAGATCAGGATCAGTGTGAGGATTTGAGTAAACAGTTGGATGATTATAGTGTTCAGTGTGATGATTAGAGTGCTCAGAGTGATGAGTAGAGTGTTCAGTGTGATGATTAGAGTGTTCAGTGTGATGACTAGAGAGTGCTCAGTGTGATGATTAGAGAGTGTTCAGTTGGATGATGTTTGATGTAATGATTAGAGTGATGTGTGTGACGTTTAGAGAGTGTTGAGAGTGATGATTTGAGTGTTCAGTATGATGACACAAGAGTGTTCAATTTGATGAGTGGAGAGTAGTGAGTGTGATGAATAGTGAGTGTTTAGTGTGACAATTGGAGTATTCAGAGTGATGAGTAGAGTGTTCAGTATGATGATTAGATAGTGTTCAGTGTGATGATTGGAGTGTTCAGAGTGGTGATTAGAGAGTGTTCAGTCTGATGATTGGAGTGTTCAGGGTGATGATTAGAGAGTGCTCAGTGTGATGATTGGAGTGTTCAGAGTGACGATTAGAGAGTGTTGAGTGTGCTGAAATATGATGATTAGAGTTTGTTCATTATGATGATTAGAGAGTGTTCAGTGTGATGTTTGGAGTGTTCAGAGTGGTGATTAGAGATTGTTCAGTGTGATGATTGGAGTGTTCCGTGTGATGACTCGATAGTGTTCAGTGGGATGATCAGAGATTGTTCAGTGTGATTATCAGAGAGTGTTCAGTGTGATGATTGGAGTGTTCAGTGGGATGATCGGAGATTATTCAGTGTGATTATCAGTGAGTGTTCAATGTGATGATTAGAGATTATTCAGTGTGATAATTGGAGTGTTCAGTGTGATGGTTGGAGTGTTCAGTGGGATGATCGGAGTGTTCAGTGGGATGATCAGAGATTATTCAGTGTGATTATCAGTGAGTGTTCAATGTGATGATTAGAGATTATTCAGTGTGATAATTGGAGTGTTCAGTGTGATGATTGGAGTGTTCAGAGTAATGACTAGATTGTTTAATATGATGATTAGAGTTTGTTCATTATGATGATTAGAGAGTGTTCAGTGTGATGTTTGGAGTGTTCAGAGTGGTGATTAGAGAGTGTTCAGTGTGATGATTGGAGTGTTCAGTGTGATGATTAGAGAGTGTTCAGTGTGATGATTAGAGAGTGTTCAGTGTGATGATTAGAGATTGTTCAGTGTGATGATTAGAGAGTGTTCAGTGTGATGATCAGAGAGTGTTCAGTGTGATGATTGGAGTGTTCAGTGTGATGATCGGAGTGTTCAGTGGGATGATTGGTGTGTTCAGAGTGATGATTAGAGATTGTTCAGTGTGATTATCAGAGAGTGTTCAGTGTGATGATTGGAGTGTTCAGTGGGATGATCGGAGTGTTCAGTGGGATGATCAGAGATTATTCAGTGTGATTATCAGTGAGTGTTCAATGTGATGATTAGAGATTATTCAGTGTGATAATTGGAGTGTTCAGTGTGATGATTGGAGTGTTCAGAGTAATGACTAGATTGTTTAATATGATGATTAGAGTTTGTTCATTATGATGATTAGAGAGTGTTCAGTGTGATGTTTGGAGTGTTCAGAGTGGTGATTAGAGAGTGTTCAGTGTGATGATTAGAGAGTGTTCAGTGTGATGATTAGAGATTGTTCAGTGTGATGATTAGAGAGTGTTCAGTGTGATGATCAGAGAGTGAACATTGTGATAATTAGAGTGTTCAGTATGATGATCAGACAGACAGCGTCGTTACCAAACGTCTCCTACTGTGTTTTATGGTCTACACAGAAATCAACCCAGCACAGAACAAGAAGAGCATCAATGAGACAAAGTCTTACAGGAGTTCACTCTTCATTGAGGAGCCTCCACTTTAAAGACTTCTAATAAGACTGGTCTGGATTCTGTTCAGACCACAAGGTCAATGGAGACACTGTCAGACTTTCAGCTGTGTGTCAGTAAGTGTGTGTGTGTGTGTGTGTGTGTGTGTGTGTGTGTGTGTTTATGTGGGTGTCTGAACAGTGAAATATATTGGATACTAAAAACTGATCTTTGACTGCTCACTTACTGGTATAAGTTGCATTGGTGGAAGTTGAAGTATTACCCGCTGCAGTTGATGTAGAGTCTGAAAGAGAGAATAAGAACGTGGTAACTTACATGTTCGACAAATAAGAATATTTGATGATTTATTATAACTATTTATTAAAGAGGTAGATTTAGTATATTAAGTATCATTTGATTTGAACATTTGAAATAATACAATTTCTACAAACAAACAATAAACTACTTTTTACACATTGCCTACAGCTGTCATAGTTATTGTCTAGTTTAGGTTAGTGTTAAAGCTTTTACACTCAACAGGTCTTTTACCCCCCAGACTTTAAGTCTGTTAGAGGTACAGAGACGTCTAGAATTACTGTCACTGTTAGTAAAACTGTAAAGTATTAAACACTAGGACGCCTCACTGGGATGATTAGAGAGTGTTCAATGTGATGATCAGAGATTGTTCAGTCTGATGATTGGAGTGTTCAGGGTGATGATTAGAGAGTGTTCAGTGTGATGATTGGTGTGTTCAGTGGGATGATCAGAGATTGTTTAGTGTGATTATCAGAGAGTGTTCAGTGTGATGATTGGAGTGTTCAGTGTGATGATCGGAGTGTTCAGTGGGATGATCAGAGATTATTCAGTGTAATTATCAGTGAGTGTTCAATGTGATGATTAGAGATTATTCAGTGTGATAATTGGAGTGTTCAGTGTGATGACTGGAGGGTTCAGAGTAATGACTAGATTGTTTAATATGATGATTAGAGTTTGTTCATTATGACGATTAGAGAGTGTTCAGTGTGATGTTTGGAGTGTTCAGAATGGTGATTAGAGAGTGTTCAGTGTGATGATTGGAGTGTTCAGTGTGATGATTCGATAGTGTTCATTGTGAGTATCAGAGAGTGTTCAGTGTGATGATTTGAGATTGTTCAGGGTGATGATTAGAGAGTGTTCAGAGTGGTGATTAGAGAGTGTTCAGTGTGACAATTAGAGTGTTCAGTGTGCTGATTGGAGTGTTCAGTGGGATGATCACAGATTGTTCAGTGTGATTATCAGTGAGTGTTCAATGTGATAATTAGAGATTGTTCAGTGTGACGATTAGAGATTATTCAGTGTGATAATTGGAGTGTTCAGTGTGATGATTGGAGTGTTCAGAGTAATGACTAGATTGTTTAATATGATGATTAGAGTTTGTTCATTATGATAATTAGAGAGTGTTCAGTGTGATGTTTGGAGTGTTCAGAGTGGTGATTAGAGAGTGTTCAGTGTGATGATTGGAGTGTTCAATGTGATGATTAGATAGTGTTCAGTGTGATGATTGGTGTGTTCAGTGGGATGATCAGAGATTGTTCAGTGTGATTATCAGAGAGTGTTCAGTGTGATGATTAGAGATTGTTTAGGGTGATGATTAGAGAGTGTTCAGAGCGGTGATTAGAGAGTGTTCAGTGTGATAATTAGAGTGTTAAGTGTGCTGATTGGAGTGTTCAGTGGGATGATCAGAGATTGTTCAGTGTGATTATCAGAGAGTGTTCAATGTGATGATTAGAGATTGTTCATTATGGTGATTAGACATTGTTCAGTGTGATGTTTGGAGTGTTCAGAGTGGTGATTAGAGAGTGTTCAGTGTGATAATTAGAGTGTTCAGTGTGATGATCAGACAGACAGCGTCGTTACCAAATGTCTCCTACTGTGTTTTATGGTCTACACAGAAATCAACCCAGCACAGAACAAGAAGAGCATCAATGAGACAAAGTCTTACAGGAGTTCACTCTTCATTGAGGAGCCTCCACTTTAAAGACTTCTAATAAGACTGGTCTGGATTCTGTTCAGACCACAAGGTCGATGGAGACACTGTCAGACTTTCAGCTGTGTGTCAGTAAGTGTGTGTGTGTGTGTGTGTGTGTGTGTGTGTGTGTGTTTATGTGGGTGTCTGAACAGTGAAATATATTGGATACTAAAAACTGATCTTTGACTGCTCACTTACTGGTATAAGTTGCATTGGTGGAAGTTGAAGTATTACCCGCTGCAGTTGATGTAGAGTCTGAAAGAGAGAATAAGAACGTGGTAACTTACATGTTCGACAAATAAGAATATTTTGATGATTTATTATAACTATTTATTAAAGAGGTAGATTTAGTATATTAAGTATCATTTGATTTGAACATTTGAAATAATACAATTTCTAAAAAACAAACAATAAACTACTTTTTACACATTGCCTACAGCTGTCATAGTTATTGTCTAGTTTAGGTTAGTGTTAAAGCTTTTACACTCAACAGGTCTTTTACCCCCCAGACTTTAAGACTGTTAGAGGTACAGAGACGTCTAGAATTACTGTCACTGTTAGTAAAACTGTAAAGTATTAAACACTAGGACACCTCACTGGGATGATTAGAGAGTGTTCAATGTGATGATCAGAGATTGTTCAGTCTGATGATTGGAGTGTTCAGGGTGATGATTAGAGAGTGTTCAGTGTGATGATTGGTGTGTTCAGAGTGATGATTAGAGAGTGTTGAGTGTGCTGAATATGATGATTAGAGTTTGTTCATTATGATGATTAGAGAGTGTTCAATGTGATATTTGGAGTGTTCAGAGTGGTGATTAGAGATTGTTCAGTGTGATGATTGGAGTGTTCAGGGTGATGATTAGAGAGTGTTCAGTGTGATGATTGGTGTGTTCAGAATGATTATCAGAGAGTGTTCAGTGTGATGATTGGAGTGTTCAGTGGGATGATCGGAGTGTTCAGTGGGATGATTGGAGTGTTCAGAGTAATGACTAGATTGTTCAATATGATGATTAGAGTTTGTTCATTATGATGATTAGAGAGTGTTCAGTGTGATGTTTGGAGTGTTCAGAGTGGTGATTAGAGAGTGTTCAGTGTGATGATTGGAGTGTTCAGTGTGATGATTCGATAGTGTTCAGTGTGATTATCAAAGAGTGTTCAGTGTGATGATTAGAGATTGTTCAGTGTGATGATTAGAGATTGTTCAGTGTGATGATTAGTGAGTGTTCAGTGTGATGATCAGTGAGTGAACATTGTGATAATTAGAGTGTTCAGTGTGATGATCAGACAGACAGCGTCGTTACCAAACGTCTCCTACTGTGTTTTATGGTCTACACAGAAATCAACCCAGCACAGAACAAGAAGAGCATCAATGAGACAAAGTCTTACAGGAGTTCACTCTTCATTGAGGAGCCTCCACTTTAAAGACTTCTAATAAGACTGGTCTGGATTCTGTTCAGACCACAAGGTCGATGGAGACACTGTCAGACATTCAGCTGTGTGTCAGTAAGTGTGTGTGCGTGTGTGTGTGTGTGTGTGTGTGTGTTTATGTGGGTGTCTGAACAGTGAAATATATTGGATACTAAAAACTGATCTTTGACTGCTCACTTACTGGTATAAGTTGCATTGGTGGAAGTTGAAGTATTACCCGCTGCAGTTGATGTAGATTCTGAAAGAGAGAATAAGAAGGTGGTAACTAAAATGTTCGATAAATAAGAATATTTGATGATTTATTATAACTATTTATTAAAGACATAGATTTAGTATATTAAGTATCATTTGATTTGAACATTTGAAATAATAAAATTTCTACAAACAAACAATAAACTACTTTTTACACATTGCCTACAGCTGTCATAGTTATTGTCTAGTTTAGGTTAGTGTTAAAGCTTTTACACTCAACAGGTCTTTTACCCCCCAGACTTTAAGTCTGTTAGAGGTACAGAGACGTCTAGAATTACTGTCACTGTTAGTAAAACTGTAAAGTATTAAACACTAGGACACCTCACTGGGATGATTAGAGAGTGTTCAATGTGATGATCAGAGATTGTTCAGTCTGATGATTGGAGTGTTCAGGGTGATGATTAAAGAGTGTTCAGTGTGATGATTGGTGTGTTCAGAGTGACGATTAGAGAGTGTTGAGTGTGCTGAATATGATGATTAGAGTTTGTTCATTATGATGATTAGAGAGTGTTCAGTGTGATATTTGGAGTGTTCAGAGTGGTGATTAGAGATTGTTCAGTCTGATGATTGGAGTGTTCAGGGTGATGATTAGAGAGTTTTCAGTGTGATGATTGGTGTGTTCAGAGTGATTATCAGAGAGTGTTCAGTGTGATGATTGGAGTGTTCAGTGGGATGATCGGAGTGTTCAGTGGGATGATCACAGATTGTTCAGTGTGATTATCAGTGAGTGTTCAATGTGATGATTAGAGATTGTTCAGTGTGATGATTAGAGAGTGTTCAGTGTGATGATTGGAGTGTTCAGAGTAATGACTACATTGTTTAATATGATGATTAGAGTTTGTTTATTATGATAATTAGATAGTGTTCAGTGTGATGTTTGGAGTGTTCAGAGTGGTGATTAGAGAGTGTTCAGTGTGATGATTGGAGTGTTCAGTGTGATGATTGGAGTGTTCAGTGTGATTGTCAGAGAGTTTTCAGTGTGATGATTAGAGATTGTTCAGTGTGATGATTAGAGATTGTTCAGTGTGATGATTAGTGAGTGTTCAGTGTGATGATCAGAGAGTGAACATTGTGATAATTAGAGTGTTCAGTGTGATGATCAGACAGACAGAGTCGTTACCAAACGTCTCCTACTGTGTTTTATGGTCTACACAGAAATCAACCCAGCACAGAACAAGAAGAGCATCAATGAGACAAAGTCTTACAGGAGTTCACTCTTCATTGAGGAGCCTCCACTTTAAAGACTTCTAATAAGACTGGTCTGGATTCTGTTCAGACCACAAGGTCGATGGAGACACTGTCAGACTTTCAGCTGTGAGTCAGTAAGTGTGTGTGTGTGTGTGTGTGTGTGTGTGTGTGTGTGTGTGTGTGTGTTTATGTGGGTGTCTGAACAGTGAAATATATTGGATACTAAAAACTGATCTTTGACTGCTCACTTACTGGTATAAGTTGCATTGGTGGAAGTTGAAGTATTACCCGCTGCAGTTGATGTAGAGTCTGAAAGAGAGAATAAGAAGGTGGTAACTAAAATGTTCGATAAATAAGAATATTTGATGATTTATTATAACTATTTATTAAAGAGGTAGATTTAGTATATTAAGTATCATTTGATTTGAACATTTGAAATAATAAAATTTCTACAAACAAACAATAAACTACTTTTTACACATTGCCTACAGCTGTCATAGTTATTGTCTAGTTTAGGTTAGTGTTAAAGCTTTTACACTCAACAGGTCTTTTACCCCCCAGACTTTAAGACTGTTAGAGGTACAGAGACGTCTAGAATTACTGTCACTGTTAGTAAAACTGTAAAGTATTAAACACTAGGACACCTCACTGGGATGATTAGAGAGTGTTCAATGTGATGATCAGAGATTGTTCAGTCTGATGATTGGAGTGTTCAGGGTGATGATTAGAGAGTGTTCAGTGTGATGATTGGTGTGTTCAAAGTGATGATTAGAGAGTGTTGAGTGTGCTGATTGGAGAGTTCAGTGGGATGATCACAGATTGTTCAGTGTGATTATCAGTGAGTGTTCAATGAGATGATTAGAGATCGTTCAGTGTGACGATTAGAGATTATTCAGTGTGATAATTGGAGTGTTCAGTGTGATGATTGGAGTGTTCAGAGTAATGACTAGATTGTTTAATATGATGATTAGAGTTTGTTCATTATGATAATTAGAGAGTGTTCAGTGTGATGTTTGGAGTGTTCAGAGTGGTGATTAGAGAGTGTTCAGTGTGATGTTTGGAGTGTTCAGAGTGGTGATTAGAGAGTGTTCAGTGTGATGATTGGAGTGTTCAGTGTGATGATTCGATAGTGTTCAGTGTGATTATCAAAGAGTGTTCAGTGTGATGATTAGAGATTGTTCAGTGTGATGATTAGTGAATGTTCAGTGTGATAATTAGAGTGTTCAGTGTGATGATCAGAGAGTGAACATTGTGATAATTAGAGTGTTCAGTGTGATGATCAGACAGACAGAGTCGTTACCAAACGTCTCCCACTGTGTTTTATGGTCTACACAGAAATCAACCCAGCACAGAACAAGAAGAGCATCAATGAGACAAAGTCTTACAGGAGTTCACTCTTCGTTGAGGAGCCTCCACTTTAAAGACTTCTAATAAGACTGGTCTGGATTCTGTTCAGACCACAAGGTCAATGGAGACACTGTCAGACATTCAGCTGTGTGTCAGTAAGTGTGTGTGTGTGTGTGTGTGTGTGTGTGTGTGTGTTTATGTGGGTGTCTGAACAGTGAAATATATTGGATACTAAAAACTGATCTTTGACTGCTCACTTACTGGTATAAGTTGCATTGGTGGAAGTTGAAGTATTACCCGCTGCAGTTGATGTAGAGTCTGAAAGAGAGAATAAGAACGTGGTAACTTACATGTTCGACAAATAAGAATATTTGATGATTTATTATAACTATTTATTAAAGAGGTAGATTTAGTATATTAAGTATCATTTGATTTGAACATTTGAAATAATACAATTTCTAAAAAACAAACAATAAACTACTTTTTACACATTGCCTACAGCTGTCATAGTTATTGTCTAGTTTAGGTTAGTGTTAAAGCTTTTACACTCAACAGGTCTTTTACCCCCCAGACTTTAAGACTGTTAGAGGTACAGAGACGTCTAGAATTACTGTCACTGTTAGTAAAACTGTAAAGTATTAAACACTAGGACACCTCACTGGGATGATTAGAGAGTGTTCAATGTGATGATTGGTGTGTTCAGAGTGATGATCAGAGATTGTTCAGTCTGATGATTGGAGTGTTCAGGGTGATGATTAGAGAGTGTTCAGTGTGATGATTGGTGTGTTCAGAGTGATGATTAGAGTTTGTTCAGTGTGATTATCAGAGAGTGTTCAGTGTGATGATTGGATTGTTCAGTGGGATGATCGGAGTGTTCAGTGGGATGATCAGAGATTATTCAGTGTGATTATCAGTGAGTGTTCAATGTGATGATTAGAGATTGTTCAGTGTGATAATTGGAGTGTTCAGTGTGATGATTGGAGTGTTCAGAGTAATGACTAGATTGTTTAATATGATGATTAGAGTTTGTTCATTATGATGATTAGAGAGTGTTCAGTGTGATGTTTGGAGTGTTCAGAGTGGTGATTAGAGAGTGTTCAGTGTGATGATTGGAGTGTTCAGTGTGATGATTCGATAGTGTTCAGTGTGATGATTGGAGTGTTCAGAGTAATGACTAGATTGTTTAATATGATGATTAGAGTTTGGTCATTATGGTGATTAGAGAGTGTTCAGTGTGATGTTTGGAGTGTTCAGAGTGGTGATTAGAGAGTGTTCAGTGTGATCATTGGAGTGTTCAGTGTGATGACTCGATAGTGTTCAGTGTGATTATCAGAGAGTGTTCAGTGTGATAATTAGAGTGTTCAGTGTGATGATCAGAGAGTGAACATTGTGATAATTAGAGTGTTCAGTGTGATGATCAGACAGACAGCGTCGTTACCAAACGTCTCCTACTGTGTTTTATGGTCTACACAGAAATCAACCCAGCACAGAACAAGAAGAGCATCAATGAGACAAAGTCTTACAGGAGTTCACTCTTCATTGAGGAGCCTCCACTTTAAAGACTTCTAATAAGACTGGTCTGGATTCTGTTCAGACCACAAGGTCGATGGAGACACTGTCAGACTTTCAGCTGTGAGTCAGTAAGTGTGTGTGTGTGTGTGTGTGTGTTTATGTGGGTGTCTGAACAGTGAAATATATTGGATACTAAAAACTGATCTTTGACTGCTCACTTACTGGTATAAGTTGCATTGGTGGAAGTTGAAGTATTACCCGCTGCAGTTGATGTAGATTCTGAAAGAGAGAATAAGAAGGTGGTAACTTACATGTTCGACAAATAAGAATTTTTGATGATTTATTATAACTATTTATTAAAGAGGTAGATTTAGTATATTAAGTATCATTTGATTTGAACATTTGAAATAATACAATTTCTAAAAAACAAACAATAAACTACTTTTTACACATTGCCTACAGCTGTCATAGTTATTGTCTAGTTTAGGTTAGTGTTAAAGCTTTTACACTCAACAGGTCTTTTACCCCCCAGACTTTAAGACTGTTAGAGGTACAGAGACGTCTAGAATTACTGTCACTGTTAGTAAAACTGTAAAGTATTAAACACTAGGACACCTCACTGGGATGATTAGAGAGTGTTCAATGTGATGATCAGAGATTGTTCAGTCTGATGATTGGAGTGTTCAGGGTGATGATTAGAGAGTGTTCAGTGTGATGATTGGTGCGTTCAGAGTGACGATTAGAGAGTGTTGAGTGTGCTGAATATGATGATTAGAGTTTGTTCATTATGATGATTAGAGAGTGTTCAGTGTGATATTTGGAGTGTTCAGAGTGGTGATTAGAGAGTGTTCAGTCTGATGATTGGAGTGTTCAGTGTGATGACTCGATAGTGTTCAGTAGGATGATCAGAGATTGTTCAGTGTGATTATCAGAGAGTGTTCAGTGTGATGATTGGAGTGTTCAGTGGGATGATCGGAGTGTTCAGTGGGATGATCACAGATTGTTCAGTGTGATTATCAGTGAGTGTTCAATGTGATGATTAGAGATTGTTCAGTGTGATGATTAGAGATTATTCAGTGTGATAATTGGAGTGTTCAGTGTGATGATTGGAGTGTTCAGTGGGATGATCGGAGTGTTCAGTGGGATGATCACAGATTGTTCAGTGTGATTATCAGTGAGTGTTCAATGTGATGATTAGAGATTGTTCAGTGTGATGATTAGAGATTATTCAGTGTGATAATTGGAGTGTTCAGTGTGATGATTGGAGTGTTCAGAGTAATGACTACATTGTTTAATATGATGATTAGAGTTTGTTCATTATGATAATTAGATAGTGTTCAGTGTGATGTTTGGAGTGTTCAGAGTGGTGATTAGAGAGTGTTCAGTGTGATGATTGGAGTGTTCAGTGTGATGACTCGATAGTGTTCAGTGTGATTGTCAGAGAGTTTTCAGTGTGATGATTAGAGATTGTTCAGTGTGATGATTAGAGAGTGTTCAGTGTGATGATCAGAGAGTGAACCTTGTGATAATTAGAGTGTTCAGTGTGATAATTAGAGTGTTCAGTGTGATGATCAGACAGACAGCGTCGTTACCAAACTTCTCCTACTGTGTTTTATGGTCTACACAGAAATCAACCCAGCACAGAACAAGAAGAGCATCAATGAGACAAAGTCTTACAGGAGTTCACTCTTCATTGAGGAGCCTCCACTTTAAAGACTTCTAATAAGACTGGTCTGGATTCTGTTCAGACCACAAGGTCGATGGAGACACTGTCAGACTTTCAGCTGTGAGTCAGTAAGTGTGTGTGTGTGTGTGTGTGTGTTTATGTGGGTGTCTGAACAGTGAAATATATTGGATACTAAAAACTGATCTTTGACTGCTCACTTACTGGTATAAGTTGCATTGGTGGAAGTTGAAGTATTACCCGCTGCAGTTGATGTAGATTCTGAAAGAGAGAATAAGAAGGTGGTAACTTACATGTTCGACAAATAAGAATTTTTGATGATTTATTATAACTATTTATTAAAGAGGTAGATTTAGTATATTAAGTATCATTTGATTTGAACATTTGAAATAATACAATTTCTACAAACAAACAATAAACTGCTTTTTACACATTGCCTACAGCTGTCATAGTTATTGTCTAGTTTAGGTTAGTGTTAAAGCTTTTACACTCAACAGGTCTTTTACCCCCCAGACTTTAAGACTGTTAGAGGTACAGAGACGTCTAGAATTACTGTCACTGTTAGTAAAACTGTAAAGTATTAAACACTAGGACACCTCACTGGGATGATTAGAGAGTGTTCAATGTGATGATCAGAGATTGTTCAGTCTGATGATTGGAGTGTTCAGGGTGATGATTAGAGAGTGTTCAGTGTGATGATTGGTGTGTTCAGAGTGATGATTAGAGATTGTTCAGTGTGATTATCAGAGAGTGTTCAGTGTGATGATTGGAGTGTTCAGTGAGATGATCGGAGTGTTCAGTGGGATGATCAGAGATTATTCAGTGTGATTATCAGTGAGTGTTCAATGTGATGATTAGAGATTGTTCAGTGTGATAATTGGAGTGTTCAGTGTGATGATCACAGATTGTTCAGTGTGATTATCAGTGAGTGTTCAATGTGATGATTAGAGATTGTTCAGTGTGATAATTGGAGTGTTCAGTGTGATGATTGGAGTGTTCAGAGTAATGACTACATTGTTTAATATGATGATTAGAGTTTGTTTATTATGATAATTAGATAGTGTTCAGTGTGATGTTTGGAGTGTTCAGAGTGGTGATTAGAGAGTGTTCAGTGTAATGATTGGAGTGTTCAGTGTGATGACTCGATAGTGTTCAGTGTGATTGTCAGAGAGTTTTCAGTGTGAAGATTAGAGATTGTTCAGTGTGATGATCAGTGAGTGTTCAGTGTGATGATCAGAGAGTGAACATTGTGATAATTAGAGTGTTCAGTGTGATGATCAGACAGACAGCGTCGTTACCAAATGTCTCCTACTGTGTTTTATGGTCTACACAGAAATCAACCCAGCACAGAACAAGAAGAGCATCAATGAGCCAAAGTCTTACAGGAGTTCACTCTTCATTGAGGAGCCTCCACTTTAAAGACTTCTAATAAGACTGGTCTGGATTCTGTTCAGACCACAAGGTCGATGGAGATACTGTCAGACATTCAGCTGTGTGTCAGTAAGTGTGTGTGTGTGTTTGTGTGTGTGTGTGTGTTTATGTGGGTGTCTGAACAGTGAAATATATTGGATACTAAAAACTGATCTTTGACTGCTCACTTACTGGTATAAGTTGCATTGGTGGAAGTTGAAGTATTACCCGCTGCAGTTGATGTAGAGTCTGAAAGAGAGAATAAGAATGTGGTAACTTACATGTTCGACAAATAAGAATATTTGATGATTTATTATAACTATTTATTAAAGACGTAGATTTAGTATATTAAGTATCATTTGATTTGAACATTTGAAATAATACAATTTCTACAAACAAACAATAAACTGCTTTTTACACATTGCCTACAGCTGTCATAGTTATTGTCTAGTTTAGGTTAGTGTTAAAGCTTTTACACTCAACACGTCTTTTACACCCCAGACTTTAAGACTGTTAGAGGTACAGAGACGTCTAGAATTACTGTCACTGTTAGTAAAACTGTAAAGTATTAAACACTAGGACACCTCACTGGGATGATTAGAGAGTGTTCAATGTGATGATCAGAGATTGTTCAGTCTGATGATTGGAGTGTTCAGGGTGATGATTAGAGAGTGTTCAGTGTGATGATTGGTGTGTTCAGAGTGATGATTAGAGAGTGTTGAGTGTGCTGATTGGAGTGTTCAGTGGGATGATCACAGATTGTTCAGTGTGATTATCAGAGAGTGTTCAGTGTGATGATTGGAGTGTTCAGTGGGATGATCGGAGTGTTCAGTGGGATGATCAGAGATTATTCAGTGTGATTATCAGTGAGTGTTCAATGTGATGATTAGAGATTATTCAGTGTGATATTTGGAGCGTTCAGAGTGTGATGATTGGAATGTTCAGAGTAATGACTAGATTGTTTAATATGATGATTAGAGTTTGTTCATTATGATGATTAGAGAGTGTTCAGTGTGATGTTTGGAGTGTTCAGAGTGGTGATTAGAGAGTGTTCAGTGTGATGATTGGAGTGTTCAGGGTGATGATTCGATAGTGTTCACTGTGATTATCAAAGAGTGTTCAATGTGATGATTAGAGATTGTTCAGTGTGATGATTAGTGAGTGTTCAGTGTGATGATCAGAGAGTGAACATTGTGATAATTAGAGTGTTCAGTGTGATGATCAGACAGACAGCGTCGTTACCAAATGTCTCCTACTGTGTTTTATGGTCTACACAGAAATCAACCCAGCACAGAACAAGAAGAGCATCAATGAGCCAAAGTCTTACAGGAGTTCACTCTTCATTGAGGAGCCTCCACTTTAAAGACTTCTAATAAGACTGGTCTGGATTCTGTTCAGACCACAAGGTCGATGGAGATACTGTCAGACATTCAGCTGTGTGTCAGTAAGTGTGTGTGTGTGTTTGTGTGTGTGTGTGTGTTTATGTGGGTGTCTGAACAGTGAAATATATTGGATACTAAAAACTGATCTTTGACTGCTCACTTACTGGTATAAGTTGCATTGGTGGAAGTTGAAGTATTACCCGCTGCAGTTGATGTAGATTCTGAAAGAGAGAATAAGAACGTGGTAACTTACATGTTCGACAAATAAGAATTTTTGATGATTTATTATAACTATTTATTAAAGAGGTAGATTTAGTATATTAAGTATCATTTGATTTGAACATTTGAAATAATACAATTTCTAAAAAACAAACAATAAACTACTTTTTACACATTGTCTACAGCTGTCATAGTTATTGTCTAGTTTAGGTTAGTGTTAAAGCTTTTACACTCAACAGGTCTTTTACCCCCCAGACTTTAAGTCTGTTAGAGGTACAGAGACGTCTAGAATTACTGTCACTGTTAGTAAAACTGTAAAGTATTAAACACTAGGACGCCTCACTGGGATGATTAGAGAGTGTTCAATGTGATGATCAGAGATTGTTCAGTCTGATGATTGGAGTGTTCAGGGTGATGATTAGAGAGTGTTCAGTGTGATGATTGGTGTGTTCAGTGGGATGATCAGAGATTGTTTAGTGTGATTATCAGAGAGTGTTCAGTGTGATGATTGGAGTGTTCAGGGTGATGATTAGAGAGTGTTCAGTGTGATGATTGGTGTGTTCAGAGTGATGATTAGAGAGTGTTCAGTGTGATGATTGGATTGTTCATTGGGATGATCGGAGTGTTCAGTGGGATGATCAGAGATTATTCAGTGTGATTATCAGTGAGTGTTCAATGTGATGATTAGAGATTGCTCAGTGTGATAATTGGAGTGTTCAGTGTGATGATTGGAGTGTTCAGAGTAATGACTAGATTGTTTAATATGATGATTAGAGTTTGTTCATTATGATGATTAGAGAGTGTTCAGTGTGATGTTTGGAGTGTTCAGAGTGGTGATTAGAGAGTGTTCAGTGTGAAGTTTGGAGTGTTCAGAGTGGTGATTAGAGAGTGTTCAGTGTGATGATTGGAGTGTTCAGTGTGATGATTCGATAGTGTTCAGTGTGATTATCAAAGAGTGTTCAGTGTGATGATTAGAGATTGTTCAGTGTGATGATTAGAGATTGTTCAGTGTGATTATCAGAGAGTGTTCAGTGTGATGATTAGAGATCGTTCAGTGTGATGATTAGAGAGTGTTCAATGTGATGATTAGAGATTGTTCATTATGGTGATTAGACATTGTTCAGTGTGATGTTTGGAGTGTTCAGAGTGGTGATTAGAGAGTGTTCAGTGTGATAATTAGAGTGTTCAGTGTGAGGATCAGACAGACAGCGTCGTTACCAAATGTCTCCTACTGTGTTTTATGGTCTACACAGAAATCAACCCAGCACAGAACAAGAAGAGCATCAATGAGACAAAGTCTTACAGGAGTTCACTCTTCATTGAGGAGCCTCCACTTTAAAGACTTCTAATAAGACTGGTCTGGATTCTGTTCAGACCACAAGGTCGATGGAGACACTGTCAGACTTTCAGCTGTGAGTCAGTAAGTGTGTGTGGTGTGTGTGTGTGTGTGTGTGTGTGTGTGTGTGTGTGTTTATGTGGGTGTCTGAACAGTGAAATATATTGGATACTAAAAACTGATCTTTGACTGCTCACTTACTGGTATAAGTTGCATTGGTGGAAGTTGAAGTATTACCCGCTGCAGTTGATGTAGATTCTGAAAGAGAGAATAAGAAGGTGGTAACTTACATGTTCGACAAATAAGAATTTTTGATGATTTATTATAACTATTTATTAAAGAGGTAGATTTAGTATATTGAGTATCATTTGAGTTGAACATTTGAAATAATACAATTTCTAAAAACAAACAATAAACTACTTTTTACACATTGCCTACAGCTGTCATAGTTATTGTCTAGTTTAGGTTAGTGTTAAAGCTTTTACACTCAACAGGTCTTTTACCCCCCAGACTTTAAGTCTGTTAGAGGTACAGAGACGTCTAGAATTACTGTCACTGTTAGTAAAACTGTAAAGTATTAAACACTAGGACACCTCACTGGGATGATTAGAGAGTGTTCAATGTGATGATCAGAGATTGTTCAGTCTGATGATTGGAGTGTTCAGGGTGATGATTAGAGAGTGTTCAGTGTGATGATTGGTGTGTTCAGAGTGACGATTAGAGAGTGTTGAGTGTGCTGAATATGATGATTAGAGTTTGTTCATTATGATGATTAGAGAGTGTTCAGTGTGATATTTGGAGTGTTCAGAGTGGTGATTAGAGAGTGTTCAGTCTGATGATCGGAGTGTTCAGTGGGATGATCACAGATTGTTCAGTGTGATTATCAGTGAGTGTTCAATGTGATGATTCGAGATTATTCAGTGTGATAAGATTAGGTGATGTGTTCAGTGTGATGATTGGAGTGTTCAGAGTAATGACTGATTTCATTGATGTTAGAGTGCATGATGATTGAGAGTGTTCAGTGTTTATTATGATAATTAGATAGTGTTCAGTGTGATGTGTTGAGTGATTGAGAGTGTTCAGTGTGATGATGCATACGATAGTGTTCAGTGTGATTGATCAAAGAGTGTTCAGTGTGATGATTAGAGAGTGTTCAGTGTGATGATTAGAGATTGTTCAGTGTGATGATCAGAGAGTGAACATTGTGATAATTAGAGTGTTCAGTGTGATAATTAGAGTGTTCAGTGTGATGATCAGACAGACAGAGTCGTTACCAAACGTCTCCTACTGTGTTTTATGGTCTACACAGAAATCAACCCAGCACAGAACAAGAAGAGCATCAATGAGACAAAGTCTTACAGGAGTTCACTCTTCATTGAGGAGCCTCCACTTTAAAGACTTCTAATAAGACTGGTCTGGATTCTGTTCAGACCACAAGGTCGATGGAGACACTGTCAGACTTTCAGCTGTGAGTCAGTAAGTGTGTGGTGTGTGTGTGTGTGTGTGTTTATGTGGGTGTCTGAACAGTGAAATATATTGGATACTAAAAACTGATCTTTGACTGCTCACTTACTGGTATAAGTTGCATTGGTGGAAGTTGAAGTATTACCCGCTGCAGTTGATGTAGAGTCTGAAAGAGAGAATAAGAACGTGGTAACTTACATGTTCGACAAATAAGAATATTTGATGATTTATTATAACTATTTATTAAAGAGGTAGATTTAGTATATTAAGTATCATTTGATTTGAACATTTGAAATAATACAATTTCTAAAAAACAAACAATAAACTACTTTTTACACATTGCCTACAGCTGTCATAGTTATTGTCTAGTTTAGGTTAGTGTTAAAGCTTTTACACTCAACAGGTCTTTTACCCCCCAGACTTTAAGTCTGTTAGAGGTACAGAGACGTCTAGAATTACTGTCACTGTTAGTAAAACTGTAAAGTATTAAACACTAGGACACCTCACTGGGATGATTAGAGAGTGTTCAATGTGATGATCGAGATTGTTCAGTTGATGATTGGAGTGTTCAGGGTGATGATTAGAGAGTGTTCAGTGTGATGATTGGTGTGTTCAGAGTGATGATTAGAGAGTGTTGAGTGTGCTGATTGGAGTGTTCAGTGGGATGATCACAGATTGTTCAGTGTGATTATCAGAGAGTGTTCAGTGTGATGATTGGATTGTTCAGTGGGATGATCGGAGTGTTCAGTGGGATGATCAGAGATTATTCAGTGTGATTATCAGTGAGTGTTCAATGTGATGATTAGAGATTATTCAGTGTGATATTTGGAGTGTTCAGAGTGTGATGATTCGATAGTGTTCACTGTGATTATCAAAGAGTGTTCAATGTGATGATTAGAGATTGTTCAGTGTGATGATTAGTGAGTGTTCAGTGTGATGATCAGAGAGTGAACATTGTGATAATTAGAGTGTTCATTGTGATGATCAGACAGACAGCGTCGTTACCAAATGTCTCCTACTGTGTTTTATGGTCTACACAGAAATCAACCCAGCACAGAACAAGAAGAGCATCAATGAGACAAAGTCTTACAGGAGTTCACTCTTCATTGAGGAGCCTCCACTTTAAAGACTTCTAATAAGACTGGTCTGGATTCTGTTCAGACCACAAGGTCGATGGAGACACTGTCAGACTTTCAGCTGTGAGTCAGTAAGTGTGTGTGTGTGTGTGTGTGTGTGGTGTTTATGTGGGTGTCTGAACAGTGAAATATATTGGATACTAAAAACTGATCTTTGACTGCTCACTTACTGGTATAAGTTGCATTGGTGGAAGTTGAAGTATTACCCGCTGCAGTTGATGTAGATTCTTAAAGAGAGAATAAGAACGTGGTAACTTACATGTTCGACAAATAAGAATTTTTGATGATTTATTATAACTATTTATTAAAGAGGTAGATTTAGTATATTAAGTATCATTTGATTTGAACATTTGAAATAATACAATTTCTAAAAAACAAACAATAAACTACTTTTTACACATTGCCTACAGCTGTCATAGTTATTGTCTAGTTTAGGTTAGTGTTAAAGCTTTTACACTCAACAGGTCTTTTACCCCCCAGACTTTAAGACTGTTAGAGGTACAGAGACGTCTAGAATTACTGTCACTGTTAGTAAAACTGTAAAGTATTAAACACTAGGACACCTCACTGGGATGATTAGAGAGTGTTCAATGTGATGATCAGAGATTGTTCAGTCTGATGATTGGAGTGTTCAGGGTGATGATTAGAGAGTGTTCAGTGTGATGATTGGTGTGTTCAGAGTGACGATTAGAGAGTGTTGAGTGTGCTGAATATGATGATTAGAGTTTGTTCATTATGATGATTAGAGAGTGTTCAGTGTGATATTTGGAGTGTTCAGAGTGGTGATTAGAGATTGTTCAGTCTGATGATTGGAGTGTTCAGTGTGATGACTCGATAGTGTTCAGTAGGATGATCAGAGATTGTTCAGTGTGATTATCAGAGAGTGTTCAGTGTGATGATTGGAGTGTTCAGTGGGATGATCGGAGTGTTCAGTGTGTGATGATCACAGATGTGTTCAGTGTGATTATCAGTGAGTGTTCAATGTGATGATTAGAGATTGTTCAGTGTGATGATTAGAGATTATTCAGTGTGATAATTGGAGTGTTCAGTGTGATGATTGGAGTGTTCAGTGGGATGATCGAGTGTTCAGTGGGATGATCACAGATTGTTCAGTGTGATTATCAGTGAGTGTTCAATGTGATGATTAGAGATTGTTCAGTGTGATGATTAGAGATTATTCAGTGTGATAATTGGAGTGTTCAGTGTGATCATTGGAGTGTTCAGAGTAATGACTACATTGTTTAATATGATGATTAGAGTTTGTTCATTATGATAATTAGATAGTGTTCAGTGTGATGTTTGGAGTGTTCAGAGTGGTGATTAGAGAGTGTTCAGTGTGATGATTGGAGTGTTCAGTGTGATGACTCGATAGTGTTCAGTGTGATTGTCAGAGAGTTGTTCAGTGTGATGATTAGAGATTGTTCAGTGTGATGATTAGAGAGTGTTCAGTGTGATGATCAGAGAGTGAACCTTGTGATAATTAGAGTGTTCAGTGTGATAATTAGAGTGTTCAGTGTGAGGATCAGACAGACAGCGTCGTTACCAAACGTCTCCTACTGTGTTTTATGGTCTACACAGAAATCAACCCAGCACAGAACAAGAAGAGCATCAATGAGACAAAGTCTTACAGGAGTTCACTCTTCATTGAGGAGCCTCCACTTTAAAGACTTCTAATAAGACTGGTCTGGATTCTGTTCAGACCACAAGGTCGATGGAGACACTGTCAGACTTTCAGCTGTGAGTCAGTAAGTGTGTGTGTGTGTGTGTGTGTGTGTGTGTGTGTGTGTTATGTGTGTGTCTGAACAGTGAAATATATTGGATACTAAAAACTGATCTTTGACTGCTCACTTACTGGTATAAGTTGCATTGGTGGAAGTTGAAGTATTACCCGCTGCAGTTGATGTAGATTCTGAAAGAGAGAATAAGAAGGTGGTAACTAAAATGTTCGACAAATAAGAATATTTGATGAATTATTATAACTATTTATTAAAGAGGTAGATTTAGTATATTAAGTATCATTTGATTTGAACATTTGAAATAATACAATTTCTAAAAAACAAACAATAAACTACTTTTTACACATTGCCTACAGCTGTCATAGTTATTGTCTAGTTTAGGTTAGTGTTAAAGCTTTTACACTCAACAGGTCTTTTACCCCCCAGACTTTAAGACTGTTAGAGGTACAGAGACGTCTAGAATTACTGTCACTGTTAGTAAAACTGTAAAGTATTAAACACTAGGACACCTCACTGGGATGATTAGAGAGTGTTCAATGTGATGATCAGAGATTGTTCAGTCTGATGATTGGAGTGTTCAGGGTGATGATTAGAGAGTGTTCAGTGTGATGATTGGTGTGTTCAGAGTGATGATTAGAGAGTGTTGAGTGTGCTGATGGAGTGTTCAGTGGGATGATCACAGATTGTTCAGTGTGATTATCAGAGAGTGTTCAGTGTGATGATTGGAGTGTTCAGTGGGATGATCGGAGTGTTCAGTGGGATGATCAGAGATTATTCAGTGTGATTATCAGTGAGTGTTCAATGTGATGATTAGAGATTGCTCAGTGTGATAATTGGAGTGTTCAGTGTGATGATTGGAATGTTCAGAGTAATGACTAGATTGTTTAATATGATGATTAGAGTTTGTTCATTATGATGATTAGAGAGTGTTCAGTGTGATGTTTGGAGTGTTCAGAGTGGTGATTAGAGAGTGTTCAGTGTGATGATTGGAGTGTTCAGGGTGATGATTCGATAGTGTTCACTGTGATTATCAAAGAGTGTTCAATGTGATGATTAGAGATTGTTCAGTGTGATGATTAGTGAGTGTTCAGTGTGATGATCAGAGAGTGAACATTGTGATAATTAGAGTGTTCAGTGTGATGATCAGACAGACAGCGTCGTTACCAAATGTCTCCTACTGTGTTTTATGGTCTACACAGAAATCAACCCAGCACAGAACAAGAAGAGCATCAATGAGCCAAAGTCTTACAGGAGTTCACTCTTCATTGAGGAGCCTCCACTTTAAAGACTTCTAATAAGACTGGTCTGGATTCTGTTCAGACCACAAGGTCGATGGAGACACTGTCAGACTTTCAGCTGTGTGTCAGTAAGTGTGTGTGTGTGTTTGTGTGTGTGTGTGTGTTTATGTGGGTGTCTGAACAGTGAAATATATGGATACTAAAAACTGATCTTTGACTGCTCACTTACTGGTATAAGTTGCATTGGTGGAAGTTGAAGTATTACCCGCTGCAGTTGATGTAGAGTCTGAAAGAGAGAATAAGAACGTGGTAACTTACATGTTCGACAAATAAGAATTTTGATGATTTATTATAACTATTTATTAAGAGGTAGATTTAGTATATTAAGTATCGTTTGATTTGAACATTTGAAATAATACAATTTCTAAAAAACAAACATAAACTACTTTTTACACATTGCCTACAGCTGTCATAGTTATTGTCTAGTTTAGGTTAGTGTTAAAGCTTTTACACTCAACAGGTCTTTTACCCCCCCAGACTTTAAGTCTGTTAGAGGTACAGAGACGTCTAGAATTACTGTCACTGTTAGTAAAACTGTAAAGTATTAAACACTAGGACACCTCACTGGGATGATTAGAGAGTGTTCATGTGATGATCAGAGATTGTTCAGTCTGATGATTGGAGTGTTCAGGGTGATGATTAGAGAGTGTTCAGTGTGATGATTGGTGTGTTCAGAGTGATGATTAGAGAGTGTTCAGTGTGATGATTGGATTGTTCATTGGGATGATCGGAGTGTTCAGTGGGATGATCAGAGATTATTCAGTGTGATTATCAGTGAGTGTTCAATGTGATGATTAGAGATTGCTCAGTGTGATAATTGGAGTGTTCAGTGTGATGATTGGAGTGTTCAGAGTAATGACTAGATTGTTTAATATGATGATTAGAGTTTGTTCATTATGATGATTAGAGAGTGTTCAGTGTGATGTTTGGAGTGTTCAGAGTGGTGATTAGAGAGTGTTCAGTGTGAAGTTTGGAGTGTTCAGAGTGGTGATTAGAGAGTGTTCAGTGTGATGATTGGAGTGTTCAGTGTGATGATTCGATAGTGTTCAGTGTGATTATCAAAGAGTGTTCAGTGTGATGATTAGAGATTGTTCAGTGTGATGATTAGAGATTGTTCAGTGTGATTATCAGAGAGTGTTCAGTGTGATGATTAGAGATCGTTCAGTGTGATGATTAGAGAGTGTTCAGTGTGATGATCAGAGAGTGTTCAGTGTGATGATTAGAGATTGTTCAGTGTGATGATTAGAGAGTGTTCAGTGTGATGATCAGAGAGTGAACATTGTGATAATTAGAGTGTTCAGTGTGATGATCAGACAGACAGCGTCGTTACCAAACGTGTCCTACTGTGTTTTTATGGTCTACACAGAAATCAACCCAGCACAGAACAAGAAGAGCATCAATGAGACAAAGTCTTACAGGAGTTCACTCTTCATTGAGGAGCCTCCACTTTAAAGACTTCTAATAAGACTGGTCTGGATTCTGTTCAGACCACAAGGTCGATGGAGACACTGTCAGACTTTCAGCTGTGAGTCAGTAAGTGTGTGTGTGTGTGTGTGTGTGTGTGTTTATGTGGGTGTCTGAACAGTGAAATATATTGGATACTAAAAACTGATCTTTGACTGCTCACTTACTGGTATAAGTTGCATTGGTGGAAGTTGAAGTATTACCCGCTGCAGTTGATGTAGATTCTGAAAGAGAGAATAAGAAGGTGGTAACTTACATGTTCGACAAATAAGAATTTTTGATGATTTATTATAACTATTTATTAAAGAGGTAGATTTAGTATATTGAGTATCATTTGAGTTGAACATTTGAAATAATACAATTTCTAAAAAACAAACAATAAACTACTTTTTACACATTGCCTACAGCTGTCATAGTTATTGTCTAGTTTAGGTTAGTGTTAAAGCTTTTACACTCAACAGGTCTTTTACCCCCCAGACTTTAAGTCTGTTAGAGGTACAGAGACGTCTAGAATTACTGTCACTGTTAGTAAAACTGTAAAGTATTAAACATTAGGACACCTCACTGGGATGATTAGAGAGTGTTCAATGTGATGATCAGAGATTGTTCAGTCTGATGATTGGAGTGTTCAGGGTGATGATTAGAGAGTGTTCAGTGTGATGATTGGTGTGTTCAGAGTGATGATTAGAGAGTGTTCAGTGTGATGATTGGTGTGTTCAGAGTGACGATTAGAGAGTGTTGAGTGTGCTGAATATGATGATTAGAGTTTGTTCATTATGATGATTAGAGAGTGTTCAGTGTGATATTTGGAGTGTTCAGAGTGGTGATTAGAGAGTGTTCAGTCTGATGATTGGAGTGTTCAGTGTGATGACTCGATAGTGTTCAGTAGGATGATCAGAGATTGTTCAGTGTGATTATCAGAGAGTGTTCAGTGTGATGATTGGAGTGTTCAGTGGGATGATCGGAGTGTTCAGTGGGATGATCACAGATTGTTCAGTGTGATTATCAGTGAGTGTTCAATGTGATGATTAGAGATTGTTCAGTGTGATGATTAGAGATTATTCAGTGTGATAATTGGAGTGTTCAGTGTGATGATTGGAGTGTTCAGTGGGATGATCGGAGTGTTCAGTGGGATGATCACAGATTGTTCAGTGTGATTATCAGTGAGTGTTCAATGTGATGATTAGAGATTGTTCAGTGTGATGATTAGAGATTATTCAGTGTGATAATTGGAGTGTTCAGTGTGATGATTGGAGTGTTCAGAGTAATGACTACATTGTTTAATATGATGATTAGAGTTTGTTCATTATGATAATTAGATAGTGTTCAGTGTGATGTTTGGAGTGTTCAGAGTGGTGATTAGAGAGTGTTCAGTGTGATGATTGGAGTGTTCAGTGTGATGACTCGATAGTGTTCAGTGTGATTGTCAGAGAGTTTTCAGTGTGATGATTAGAGATTGTTCAGTGTGATGATTAGAGAGTGTTCAGTGTGATGATCAGAGAGTGAACCTTGTGATAATTAGAGTGTTCAGTGTGATAATTAGAGTGTTCAGTGTGATGAACAGACAGACAGAGTCGTTACCAAACGTCTCCTACTGTGTTTTATGGTCTACACAGAAATCAACCCAGCACAGAACAAGAAGAGCATCAATGAGACAAAGTCTTACAGGAGTTCACTCTTCATTGAGGAGCCTCCACTTTAAAGACTTCTAATAAGACTGGTCTGGATTCTGTTCAGACCACAAGGTCGATGGAGACACTGTCAGACTTTCAGCTGTGAGTCAGTAAGTGTGTGTGTGTGTGTGTGTGTGTGTGTGTGTGTGTGTGTTTATGTGTGTGTCTGAACAGTGAAATATATTGGATACTAAAAACTGATCTTTGACTGCTCACTTACTGGTATAAGTTGCATTGGTGGAAGTTGAAGTATTACCCGCTGCAGTTGATGTAGAGTCTGAAAGAGAGAATAAGAACGTGGTAACTAAAATGTTCGACAAATAAGAATATTTGATGAATTATTATAACTATTTATTAAAGAGGTAGATTTAGTATATTAAGTATCATTTGATTTGAACATTTGAAATAATACAATTTCTAAAAAACAAACAATAAACTACTTTTTACACATTGCCTACAGCTGTCATAGTTATTGTCTAGTTTAGGTTAGTGTTAAAGCTTTTACACTCAACAGGTCTTTTACCCCCCAGACTTTAAGACTGTTAGAGGTACAGAGACGTCTAGAATTACTGTCACTGTTAGTAAAACTGTAAAGTATTAAACACTAGGACACCTCACTGGGATGATTAGAGAGTGTTCAATGTGATGATCAGAGATTGTTCAGTCTGATGATTGGAGTGTTCAGGGTGATGATTAGAGAGTGTTCAGTGTGATGATTGGTGTGTTCAGAGTGATGATTAGAGATTGTTCAGTGTGATTATCAGAGAGTGTTCAGTGTGATGATTGGAGTGTTCAGTGAGATGATCGGAGTGTTCAGTGGGATGATCAGAGATTATTCAGTGTGATTATCAGTGAGTGTTCAATGTGATGATTAGAGATTGTTCAGTGTGATAATTGGAGTGTTCAGTGTGATGATCACAGATTGTTCAGTGTGATTATCAGTGAGTGTTCAATGTGATGATTAGAGATTGTTCAGTGTGATAATTGGAGTGTTCAGTGTGATGATTGGAGTGTTCAGAGTAATGACTACATTGTTTAATATGATGATTAGAGTTTGTTTATTATGATAATTAGATAGTGTTCAGTGTGATGTTTGGAGTGTTCAGAGTGGTGATTAGAGAGTGTTCAGTGTGATGATTGGAGTGTTCAGTGTGATGACTCGATAGTGTTCAGTGTGATTGTCAGAGAGTTTTCAGTGTGAAGATTAGAGATTGGTCAGTGTGATGATCAGTGAGTGTTCAGTGTGATGATCAGAGAGTGAACATTGTGATAATTAGAGTGTTCAGTGTGATGATCAGACAGACAGCGTCGTTACCAAACTTCTCCTACTGTGTTTTTATGGTCTACACAGAAATCAACCCAGCACAGAACAAGAAGAGCATCAATGAGACAAAGTCTTACAGGAGTTCACTCTTCATTGAGGAGCCTCCACTTTAAAGACTTCTAATAAGACTGGTCTGGATTCTGTTCAGACCACAAGGTCGATGGAGACACTGTCAGACTTTCAGCTGTGAGTCAGTAAGTGTGTGTGTGTGTGTGTGTGTGTGTGTGTTTATGTGGGTGTCTGAACAGTGAAATATATTGGATACTAAAAACTGATCTTTGACTGCTCACTTACTGGTATAAGTTGCATTGGTGGAAGTTGAAGTATTACCCGCTGCAGTTGATGTAGAGTCTGAAAGAGAGAATAAGAACGTGGTAACTTACATGTTCGACAAATAAGAATTTTTGATGATTTATTATAACTATTTATTAAAGAGGTAGATTTAGTATATTAAGTATCGTTTGATTTGAACATTTGAAATAATACAATTTCTAAAAAACAAACAATAAACTACTTTTTACACATTGCCTACAGCTGTCATAGTTATTGTCTAGTTTAGGTTAGTGTTAAAGCTTTTACACTCAACAGGTCTTTTACCCCCCAGACTTTAAGTCTGTTAGAGGTACAGAGACGTCTAGAATTACTGTCACTGTTAGTAAAACTGTAAAGTATTAAACACTAGGACGCCTCACTGGGATGATTAGAGAGTGTTCAATGTGATGATCAGAGATTGTTCAGTCTGATGATTGGAGTGTTCAGGGTGATGATTAGAGAGTGTTCAGTGTGATGATTGGTGTGTTCAGAGTGATGATTAGAGAGTGTTGAGTGTGCTGATTGGAGTGTTCAGTGGGATGATCACAGATTGTTCAGTGTGATTATCAGAGAGTGTTCAGTGTGATGATTGGAGTGTTCAGTGGGATGATCGGAGTGTTCAGTGGGATGATCAGAGATTATTCAGTGTGATTATCAGTGAGTGTTCAATGTGATGATTAGAGATTGCTCAGTGTGATAATTGGAGTGTTCAGTGTGATGATTGGAATGTTCAGAGTAATGACTAGATTGTTTAATATGATGATTAGAGTTTGTTCATTATGATGATTAGAGAGTGTTCAGTGTGATGTTTGGAGTGTTCAGAGTGGTGATTAGAGAGTGTTCAGTGTGATGATTGGAGTGTTCAGGGTGATGATTCGATAGTGTTCACTGTGATTATCAAAGAGTGTTCAATGTGATGATTAGAGATTGTTCAGTGTGATGATTAGTGAGTGTTCAGTGTGATGATCAGAGAGTGAACATTGTGATAATTAGAGTGTTCAGTGTGATGATCAGACAGACAGCGTCGTTACCAAATGTCTCCTACTGTGTTTTATGGTCTACACAGAAATCAACCCAGCACAGAACAAGAAGAGCATCAATGAGCCAAAGTCTTACAGGAGTTCACTCTTCATTGAGGAGCCTCCACTTTAAAGACTTCTAATAAGACTGGTCTGGATTCTGTTCAGACCACAAGGTCGATGGAGACACTGTCAGACTTTCAGCTGTGTGTCAGTAAGTGTGTGTGTGTGTTTGTGTGTGTGTGTGTGTTTATGTGGGTGTCTGAACAGTGAAATATATTGGATACTAAAAACTGATCTTTGACTGCTCACTTACTGGTATAAGTTGCATTGGTGGAAGTTGAAGTATTACCCGCTGCAGTTGATGTAGAGTCTGAAAGAGAGAATAAGAACGTGGTAACTTACATGTTCGACAAATAAGAATTTTTGATGATTTATTATAACTATTTATTAAAGAGGTAGATTTAGTATATTAAGTATCGTTTGATTTGAACATTTGAAATAATACAATTTCTAAAAAACAAACAATAAACTACTTTTTACACATTGCCTACAGCTGTCATAGTTATTGTCTAGTTTAGGTTAGTGTTAAAGCTTTTACACTCAACAGGTCTTTTACCCCCCAGACTTTAAGTCTGTTAGAGGTACAGAGACGTCTAGAATTACTGTCACTGTTAGTAAAACTGTAAAGTATTAAACACTAGGACACCTCACTGGGATGATTAGAGAGTGTTCAATGTGATGATCAGAGATTGTTCAGTCTGATGATTGGAGTGTTCAGGGTGATGATTAGAGAGTGTTCAGTGTGATGATTGGTGTGTTCAGAGTGATGATTAGAGATTGTTCAGTGTGATTATCAGAGAGTGTTCAGTGTGATGATTGGAGTGTTCAGTGAGATGATCGGAGTGTTCAGTGGGATGATCAGAGATTATTCAGTGTGATTATCAGTGAGTGTTCAATGTGATGATTAGAGATTGCTCAGTGTGATAATTGGAGTGTTCAGTGTGATGATTGGAGTGTTCAGAGTAATGACTAGATTGTTTAATATGATGATTAGAGTTTGTTCATTATGATGATTAGAGAGTGTTCAGTGTGATGTTTGGAGTGTTCAGAGTGGTGATTAGAGAGTGTTCAGTGTGATGATTGGAGTGTTCAGTGTGATGTTTCGATAGTGTTCAGTGTGATTATCAAAGAGTGTTCAGTGTTATGATTAGAGATTGTTCAGTGTGATGATTAGAGATTGTTCAGTGTGATTATCAGAGAGTGTTCAGTGTGATGATTAGAGATTGTTCAGTGTGATGATTAGAGAGTGTTCAGTGTGATGATCAGAGAGTGAACATTGTGATAATTGGAGTGTTCAGTGTGATGATTGGAGTGTTCAGTGTGATGATTCGATAGTGTTCAGTGTGATTATCAAAGAGTGTTCAGTGTGATGATTAGAGAGTGTTCAGTGTGATAATTAGAGATTGTTCAGTGTGATTATCAAAGAGTGTTCAGTGTGATGATTAGAGATTGTTCAGTGTGATGATCAGAGATTATTCAGTGTGATTATCAGTGAGTGTTCAATGTGATGATTAGAGATTGTTCAGTGTGATGATTAGAGATTATTCAGTGTGATAATTGGAGTGTTCAGTGTGATGATTGGAGTGTTCAGAGTAATGACTAGAGTGTTTAATATGATGATTAGTGTTTGTTCATTATGATGATTAGAGAGTGTTCAGTGTGATGTTTGGAGTGTTCAGAGTGGTGATTAGAGAGTGTTCAGTGTGATGATTGGAGTGTTCAGTGTGATGATTCGATAGTGTTCAGTGTGATTATCAAAGAGTGTTCAGTGTGATGATTAGAGAGTGTTCAGTGTGATGATCAGAGAGTGAACATTGTGATAATTGGAGTGTTCAGTGTGATGATTGGAGTGTTCAGTGTGATGATTAGAGATTGTTCAGTGTGATGATTAGAGATTGTTCAGTTTGATTATCAGAGAGTGTTCAGTGTGATGATTAGAGATTGTTCAGTGTGATGATTAGAGATTGTTCAGTTTGATTATCAGAGAGTGTTCAGTGTGATGATTAGAGATTGTTCAGTGTGATGATTAGAGATTGTTCAGTTTGATTATCAGAGAGTGTTCAGTGTGATGATTAGAGATTGTTCACTGTGATGATTAGAGATTGTTCAGTGTGATGATCAGAGATTATTCAGTGTGATTATCAGTGAGTGTTCAATGTGATGATTAGAGATTGTTCAGTGTGATGATTAGAGATTATTCAGTGTGATAATTGGAGTGTTCAGTGTGATGATTGGAGTGTTCAGAGTAATGACTAGATTGTTTAATATGATGATTAGAGTTTGTTCATTATGATGATTAGAGAGTGTTCAGTGTGATGTTTGGAGTGTTCAGAGTGGTGATTAGAGAGTGTTCAGTGTGATAATTAGAGTGTTCAGTGTGATGATCAGAGAGTGAACATTGTGATAATTAGAGTGTTCAGTGTGATGATCAGACAGACAGCGTCGTTACCAAACGTCTCCTACTGTGTTTTATGGTCTACACAGAAATCAACCCAGCACAGAACAAGAAGAGCATCAATGAGACAAAGTCTTACAGGAGTTCACTCTTCATTGAGGAGCCTCCACTTTAAAGACTTCTAATAAGACTGGTCTGGATTCTGTTCAGACCACAAGGTCGATGGAGACACTGTCAGACTTTCAGCTGTGAGTCAGTAAGTGTGTGTGTGTGTGTGTGTGTGTGTGTGTTTATGTGGTTGTCTGAACAGTGAAATATATTGGATACTAAAAACTGATCTTTGACTGCTCACTTACTGGTATAAGTTGCATTGGTGGAAGTTGAAGTATTACCCGCTGCAGTTGATGTAGAGTCTGAAAGAGAGAATAAGAACGTGGTAACTTACATGTTCGACAAATAAGAATATTTGATGATTTATTATAACTATTTATTAAAGACATAGATTTAGTACATTAAGTATCATTTGATTTGAACATTTGAAATAATACAATTTCTAAAAAACAAACAATAAACTACTTTTTACACATTGCCTACAGCTGTCATAGTTATTGTCTAGTTTAGGTTAGTGTTAAAGCTTTTACACTCAACAGGTCTTTTACCCCCCAGACTTTAAGTCTGTTAGAGGTACAGAGACGTCTAGAATTACTGTCACTGTTAGTAAAACTGTAAAGTATTAAACACTAGGACACCTCACTGGGATGATTAGAGAGTGTTCAATGTGATGATCAGAGATTGTTCAGTCTGATGATTGGAGTGTTCAGGGTGATGATTAGAGAGTGTTCAGTGTGATGATTGGTGTGTTCAGAGTGATGATTAGAGAGTGTTGAGTGTGCTGATTGGAGTGTTCAGTGGGATGATCACAGATTGTTCAGTGTGATTATCAGTGAGTGTTCAATGTGATGATTAGAGATCGTTCAGTGTGACGATTAGAGATTATTCAGTGTGATAATTGGAGTGTTCAGTGTGATGATTGGAGTGTTCAGAGTAATGACTAGATCGTTTAATATGATGATTAGAGTTTGTTCATTATGATAATTAGAGAGTGTTCAGTGTGATGTTTGGAGTGTTCAGAGTGGTGATTAGAGAGTGTTCAGTCTGATGATTGGAGTGTTCAGCGTGATGATTAGATAGTGTTCAGTGTGATTATCAAAGAGTGTTCAATGTGACGATCAGAGATTGTTCAGTCTGATGATTGGAGTGTTCAGGGTGATGATTAGAGAGTGTTCAGTGTGATGATTGGTGTGTTCAGGGTGATAATTAGAGAGTGTTCAGTGTGATGATCGGAGTGTTCAGTGGGATGATCAGAGATTATTCAGTGTGATTATCAGTGAGTGTTCAATGTGGTGATTAGAGAGTGTTCAGTGTGATAATTAGTGAATGTTCAGTGTGATGATCAGACAGACAGCGTCGTTACCAAACGTCTCCTACTGTGTTTTATGGTCTACACAGAAATCAACCCAGCACAGAACAAGAAGAGCATCAATGAGACAAAGTCTTACAGGAGTTCACTCTTCATTGAGGAGCCTCCACTTTAAAGACTTCTAATAAGACTGGTCTGGATTCTGTTCAGACCACAAGGTCGATGGAGACACTGTCAGACTTTCAGCTGTGAGTCAGTAAGTGTGTGTGTGTGTGTGTGTTTATGTGTGTGTCTGAACAGTGAAATATATTGGATACTAAAAACTGATCTTTGACTGCTCACTTACTGGTATAAGTTGCATTGGTGGAAGTTGAAGTATTACCCGCTGCAGTTGATGTAGATTCTGAAAGAGAGAATAAGAAGGTGGTAACTAAAATGTTCGACAAATAAGAATTTTTGATGATTTATTATAACTATTTATTAAAGAGGTAGATTTAGTATATTAAGTATCATTTGATTTGAACATTTGAAATAATACAATTTCTACAAACAAACAATAAACTACTTTTTACACATTGCCTACAGCTGTCATAGTTATTGTCTAGTTTAGGTTAGTGTTAAAGCTTTTACACTCAACAGGTCTTTTACCCCCCAGACTTTAAGTCTGTTAGAGGTACAGAGACGTCTAGAATTACTGTCACTGTTAGTAAAACTGTAAAGTATTAAACATTAGGACACCTCACTGGGATGATTAGAGAGTGTTCAATGTGATGATCAGAGATTGTTCAGTCTGATGATTGGAGTGTTCAGGGTGATGATTAGAGAGTGTTCAGTGTGATGATTGGTGTGTTCAGAGTGATGATTAGAGAGTGTTCAGTGTGATGATTGGTGTGTTCAGAGTGACGATTAGAGAGTGTTGAGTGTGCTGAATATGATGATTAGAGTTTGTTCATTATGATGATTAGAGAGTGTTCAGTGTGATATTTGGAGTGTTCAGAGTGGTGATTAGAGAGTGTTCAGTCTGATGATTGGAGTGTTCAGTGTGATGACTCGATAGTGTTCAGTAGGATGATCAGAGATTGTTCAGTGTGATTATCAGAGAGTGTTCAGTGTGATGATTGGAGTGTTCAGTGGGATGATCGGAGTGTTCAGTGGGATGATCACAGATTGTTCAGTGTGATTATCAGTGAGTGTTCAATGTGATGATTAGAGATTGTTCAGTGTGATGATTAGAGATTATTCAGTGTGATAATTGGAGTGTTCAGTGTGATGATTGGAGTGTTCAGTGGGATGATCGGAGTGTTCAGTGGGATGATCACAGATTGTTCAGTGTGATTATCAGTGAGTGTTCAATGTGATGATTAGAGATTGTTCAGTGTGATGATTAGAGATTATTCAGTGTGATAATTGGAGTGTTCAGTGTGATGATTGGAGTGTTCAGAGTAATGACTACATTGTTTAATATGATGATTAGAGTTTGTTCATTATGATAATTAGATAGTGTTCAGTGTGATGTTTGGAGTGTTCAGAGTGGTGATTAGAGAGTGTTCAGTGTGATGATTGGAGTGTTCAGTGTGATGACTCGATAGTGTTCAGTGTGATTGTCAGAGAGTTTTCAGTGTGATGATTAGAGATTGTTCAGTGTGATTATCAGAGAGTGTTCAGTGTGATGATTGGAGTGTTCAGTGGGATGATCGGAGTGTTCAGTGGGATGATCAGAGATTATTCAGTGTGATTATCAGTGAGTGTTCAATGTGATGATTAGAGATTGCTCAGTGTGATAATTGGAGTGTTCAGTGTGATGATTGGAATGTTCAGAGTAATGACTAGATTGTTTAATATGATGATTAGAGTTTGTTCATTATGATGATTAGAGAGTGTTCAGTGTGATGTTTGGAGTGTTCAGAGTGGTGATTAGAGAGTGTTCAGTGTGATGATTGGAGTGTTCAGGGTGATGATTCGATAGTGTTCACTGTGATTATCAAAGAGTGTTCAATGTGATGATTAGAGATTGTTCAGTGTGATGATTAGTGAGTGTTCAGTGTGATGATCAGAGAGTGAACATTGTGATAATTAGAGTGTTCAGTGTGATGATCAGACAGACAGCGTCGTTACCAAATGTCTCCTACTGTGTTTTATGGTCTACACAGAAATCAACCCAGCACAGAACAAGAAGAGCATCAATGAGCCAAAGTCTTACAGGAGTTCACTCTTCATTGAGGAGCCTCCACTTTAAAGACTTCTAATAAGACTGGTCTGGATTCTGTTCAGACCACAAGGTCGATGGAGACACTGTCAGACTTTCAGCTGTGTGTCAGTAAGTGTGTGTGTGTGTTTGTGTGTGTGTGTGTGTTTATGTGGGTGTCTGAACAGTGAAATATATTGGATACTAAAAACTGATCTTTGACTGCTCACTTACTGGTATAAGTTGCATTGGTGGAAGTTGAAGTATTACCCGCTGCAGTTGATGTAGAGTCTGAAAGAGAGAATAAGAACGTGGTAACTTACATGTTCGACAAATAAGAATTTTTGATGATTTATTATAACTATTTATTAAAGAGGTAGATTTAGTATATTAAGTATCGTTTGATTTGAACATTTGAAATAATACAATTTCTAAAAAACAAACAATAAACTACTTTTTACACATTGCCTACAGCTGTCATAGTTATTGTCTAGTTTAGGTTAGTGTTAAAGCTTTTACACTCAACAGGTCTTTTACCCCCCAGACTTTAAGTCTGTTAGAGGTACAGAGACGTCTAGAATTACTGTCACTGTTAGTAAAACTGTAAAGTATTAAACACTAGGACACCTCACTGGGATGATTAGAGAGTGTTCAATGTGATGATCAGAGATTGTTCAGTCTGATGATTGGAGTGTTCAGGGTGATGATTAGAGAGTGTTCAGTGTGATGATTGGTGTGTTCAGAGTGATGATTAGAGATTGTTCAGTGTGATTATCAGAGAGTGTTCAGTGTGATGATTGGAGTGTTCAGTGAGATGATCGGAGTGTTCAGTGGGATGATCAGAGATTATTCAGTGTGATTATCAGTGAGTGTTCAATGTGATGATTAGAGATTGCTCAGTGTGATAATTGGAGTGTTCAGTGTGATGATTGGAGTGTTCAGAGTAATGACTAGATTGTTTAATATGATGATTAGAGTTTGTTCATTATGATGATTAGAGAGTGTTCAGTGTGATGTTTGGAGTGTTCAGAGTGGTGATTAGAGAGTGTTCAGTGTGATGATTGGAGTGTTCAGTGTGATGTTTCGATAGTGTTCAGTGTGATTATCAAAGAGTGTTCAGTGTTATGATTAGAGATTGTTCAGTGTGATGATTAGAGATTGTTCAGTGTGATTATCAGAGAGTGTTCAGTGTGATGATTAGAGATTGTTCAGTGTGATGATTAGAGAGTGTTCAGTGTGATGATCAGAGAGTGAACATTGTGATAATTGGAGTGTTCAGTGTGATGATTGGAGTGTTCAGTGTGATGATTCGATAGTGTTCAGTGTGATTATCAAAGAGTGTTCAGTGTGATGATTAGAGAGTGTTCAGTGTGATAATTAGAGATTGTTCAGTGTGATTATCAAAGAGTGTTCAGTGTGATGATTAGAGATTGTTCAGTGTGATGATCAGAGATTATTCAGTGTGATTATCAGTGAGTGTTCAATGTGATGATTAGAGATTGTTCAGTGTGATGATTAGAGATTATTCAGTGTGATAATTGGAGTGTTCAGTGTGATGATTGGAGTGTTCAGAGTAATGACTAGAGTGTTTAATATGATGATTAGTGTTTGTTCATTATGATGATTAGAGAGTGTTCAGTGTGATGTTTGGAGTGTTCAGAGTGGTGATTAGAGAGTGTTCAGTGTGATGATTGGAGTGTTCAGTGTGATGATTCGATAGTGTTCAGTGTGATTATCAAAGAGTGTTCAGTGTGATGATTAGAGAGTGTTCAGTGTGATGATCAGAGAGTGAACATTGTGATAATTGGAGTGTTCAGTGTGATGATTGGAGTGTTCAGTGTGATGATTAGAGATTGTTCAGTGTGATGATTAGAGATTGTTCAGTTTGATTATCAGAGAGTGTTCAGTGTGATGATTAGAGATTGTTCAGTGTGATGATTAGAGATTGTTCAGTTTGATTATCAGAGAGTGTTCAGTGTGATGATTAGAGATTGTTCAGTGTGATGATTAGAGATTGTTCAGTTTGATTATCAGAGAGTGTTCAGTGTGATGATTAGAGATTGTTCACTGTGATGATTAGAGATTGTTCAGTGTGATGATCAGAGATTATTCAGTGTGATTATCAGTGAGTGTTCAATGTGATGATTAGAGATTGTTCAGTGTGATGATTAGAGATTATTCAGTGTGATAATTGGAGTGTTCAGTGTGATGATTGGAGTGTTCAGAGTAATGACTAGATTGTTTAATATGATGATTAGAGTTTGTTCATTATGATGATTAGAGAGTGTTCAGTGTGATGTTTGGAGTGTTCAGAGTGGTGATTAGAGAGTGTTCAGTGTGATAATTAGAGTGTTCAGTGTGATGATCAGAGAGTGAACATTGTGATAATTAGAGTGTTCAGTGTGATGATCAGACAGACAGCGTCGTTACCAAACGTCTCCTACTGTGTTTTATGGTCTACACAGAAATCAACCCAGCACAGAACAAGAAGAGCATCAATGAGACAAAGTCTTACAGGAGTTCACTCTTCATTGAGGAGCCTCCACTTTAAAGACTTCTAATAAGACTGGTCTGGATTCTGTTCAGACCACAAGGTCGATGGAGACACTGTCAGACTTTCAGCTGTGAGTCAGTAAGTGTGTGTGTGTGTGTGTGTGTGTGTGTTTATGTGGTTGTCTGAACAGTGAAATATATTGGATACTAAAAACTGATCTTTGACTGCTCACTTACTGGTATAAGTTGCATTGGTGGAAGTTGAAGTATTACCCGCTGCAGTTGATGTAGAGTCTGAAAGAGAGAATAAGAACGTGGTAACTTACATGTTCGACAAATAAGAATATTTGATGATTTATTATAACTATTTATTAAAGACATAGATTTAGTACATTAAGTATCATTTGATTTGAACATTTGAAATAATACAATTTCTAAAAAACAAACAATAAACTACTTTTTACACATTGCCTACAGCTGTCATAGTTATTGTCTAGTTTAGGTTAGTGTTAAAGCTTTTACACTCAACAGGTCTTTTACCCCCCAGACTTTAAGTCTGTTAGAGGTACAGAGACGTCTAGAATTACTGTCACTGTTAGTAAAACTGTAAAGTATTAAACACTAGGACACCTCACTGGGATGATTAGAGAGTGTTCAATGTGATGATCAGAGATTGTTCAGTCTGATGATTGGAGTGTTCAGGGTGATGATTAGAGAGTGTTCAGTGTGATGATTGGTGTGTTCAGAGTGATGATTAGAGAGTGTTGAGTGTGCTGATTGGAGTGTTCAGTGGGATGATCACAGATTGTTCAGTGTGATTATCAGTGAGTGTTCAATGTGATGATTAGAGATCGTTCAGTGTGACGATTAGAGATTATTCAGTGTGATAATTGGAGTGTTCAGTGTGATGATTGGAGTGTTCAGAGTAATGACTAGATCGTTTAATATGATGATTAGAGTTTGTTCATTATGATAATTAGAGAGTGTTCAGTGTGATGTTTGGAGTGTTCAGAGTGGTGATTAGAGAGTGTTCAGTCTGATGATTGGAGTGTTCAGCGTGATGATTAGATAGTGTTCAGTGTGATTATCAAAGAGTGTTCAATGTGACGATCAGAGATTGTTCAGTCTGATGATTGGAGTGTTCAGGGTGATGATTAGAGAGTGTTCAGTGTGATGATTGGTGTGTTCAGGGTGATAATTAGAGAGTGTTCAGTGTGATGATCGGAGTGTTCAGTGGGATGATCAGAGATTATTCAGTGTGATTATCAGTGAGTGTTCAATGTGGTGATTAGAGAGTGTTCAGTGTGATAATTAGTGAATGTTCAGTGTGATGATCAGACAGACAGCGTCGTTACCAAACGTCTCCTACTGTGTTTTATGGTCTACACAGAAATCAACCCAGCACAGAACAAGAAGAGCATCAATGAGACAAAGTCTTACAGGAGTTCACTCTTCATTGAGGAGCCTCCACTTTAAAGACTTCTAATAAGACTGGTCTGGATTCTGTTCAGACCACAAGGTCGATGGAGACACTGTCAGACTTTCAGCTGTGAGTCAGTAAGTGTGTGTGTGTGTGTGTGTTTATGTGTGTGTCTGAACAGTGAAATATATTGGATACTAAAAACTGATCTTTGACTGCTCACTTACTGGTATAAGTTGCATTGGTGGAAGTTGAAGTATTACCCGCTGCAGTTGATGTAGAGTCTGAAAGAGAGAATAAGAACGTGGTAACTTACATGTTCGACAAATAAGAATTTTTGATGATTTATTATAACTATTTATTAAAGAGGTAGATTTAGTATATTAAGTATCATTTGATTTGAACATTTGAAATAATACAATTTCTAAAAAACAAACAATAAACTACTTTTTACACATTGCCTACAGCTGTCATAGTTATTGTCTAGTTTAGGTTAGTGTTAAAGCTTTTACACTCAACAGGTCTTTTACCCCCCAGACTTTAAGTCTGTTAGAGGTACAGAGACGTCTAGAATTACTGTCACTGTTAGTAAAACTGTAAAGTATTAAACACTAGGACACCTCACTGGGATGATTAGAGAGTGTTCAATGTGATGATCAGAGATTGTTCAGTCTGATGATTGGAGTGTTCAGGGTGATGATTAGAGAGTGTTCAGTGTGATGATTGGTGTGTTCAGAGTGATGATTAGAGAGTGTTCAGTGTGATGATTGGTGTGTTCAGAGTGACGATTAGAGAGTGTTGAGTGTGGCTGATATGATGATTAGAGTTTGTTCATTATGATGATTAGAGAGTGTTCAGTGTGATATTTGGAGTGTTCAGAGTGGTGATTAGAGAGTGTTCAGTCTGATGATTGGAGTGTTCAGTGTGATGACTCGATAGTGTTCAGTAGGATGATCAGAGATTGTTCAGTGTGATTATCAGAGAGTGTTCAGTGTGATGATTGGAGTGTTTCAGTGGGATGATCGGAGTGTTCAGTGGGATGATCACAGATTGTTCAGTGTGATTATCAGTGAGTGTTCAATGTGATGATTAGAGATTGTTCAGTGTGATGATTAGAGATTATTCAGTGTGATAATTGGAGTGTTCAGTGTGATGATTGGAGTGTTCAGTGGGATGATCGGAGTGTTCAGTGGGATGATCACAGATTGTTCAGTGTGATTATCAGTGAGTGTTCAATGTGATGATTAGAGATTGTTCAGTGTGATGATTAGAGATTATTCAGTGTGATAATTGGAGTGTTCAGTGTGATGATTGGAGTGTTCAGAGTAATGACTACATTGTTTAATATGATGATTAGAGTTTGTTCATTATGATAATTAGATAGTGTTCAGTGTGATGTTTGGAGTGTTCAGAGTGGTGATTAGAGAGTGTTCAGTGTGATGATTGGAGTGTTCAGTGTGATGACTCGATAGTGTTCAGTGTGATTGTCAGAGAGTTTTCAGTGTGATGATTAGAGATTGTTCAGTGTGATGATTAGAGAGTGTTCAGTGTGATGATCAGAGAGTGAACCTTGTGATAATTAGAGTGTTCAGTGTGATAATTAGAGTGTTCAGTGTGATGAACAGACAGACAGAGTCGTTACCAAACGTCTCCTACTGTGTTTTATGGTCTACACAGAAATCAACCCAGCACAGAACAAGAAGAGCATCAATGAGACAAAGTCTTACAGGAGTTCACTCTTCATTGAGGAGCCTCCACTTTAAAGACTTCTAATAAGACTGGTCTGGATTCTGTTCAGACCACAAGGTCGATGGAGACACTGTCAGACTTTCAGCTGTGAGTCAGTAAGTGTGTGTGTGTGTGTGTGTGTGTGTGTGTGTGTGTGTGTGTTTATGTGTGTGTCTGAACAGTGAAATATATTGGATACTAAAAACTGATCTTTGACTGCTCACTTACTGGTATAAGTTGCATTGGTGGAAGTTGAAGTATTACCCGCTGCAGTTGATGTAGAGTCTGAAAGAGAGAATAAGAACGTGGTAACTAAAATGTTCGACAAATAAGAATATTTGATGAATTATTATAACTATTTATTAAAGAGGTAGATTTAGTATATTAAGTATCATTTGATTTGAACATTTGAAATAATACAATTTCTAAAAAACAAACAATAAACTACTTTTTACACATTGCCTACAGCTGTCATAGTTATTGTCTAGTTTAGGTTAGTGTTAAAGCTTTTACACTCAACAGGTCTTTTACCCCCCAGACTTTAAGACTGTTAGAGGTACAGAGACGTCTAGAATTACTGTCACTGTTAGTAAAACTGTAAAGTATTAAACACTAGGACGCCTCACTGGGATGATTAGAGAGTGTTCAATGTGATGATCAGAGATTGTTCAGTCTGATGATTGGAGTGTTCAGGGTGATGATTAGAGAGTGTTCAGTGTGATGATTGGTGTGTTCAGAGTGATGATTAGAGATTGTTCAGTGTGATTATCAGAGAGTGTTCAGTGTGATGATTGGAGTGTTCAGTGGGATGATCGGAGTGTTCATGGGATGATCAGAGATTATTCAGTGTGATTATCAGTGAGTGTTCAATGTGATGATTAGAGATTGTTCAGTGTGATAATTGGAGTGTTCAGTGTGATGATCACAGATTGTTCAGTGTGATTATCAGTGAGTGTTCAATGTGATGATTAGAGATTGTTCAGTGTGATAATTGGAGTGTTCAGTGTGATGATTGGAGTGTTCAGAGTAATGACTACATTGTTTAATATGATGATTAGAGTTTGTTTATTATGATAATTAGATAGTGTTCAGTGTGATGTTTGGAGTGTTCAGAGTGGTGATTAGAGAGTGTTCAGTGTGATGATTGGAGTGTTCAGTGTGATGACTCGATAGTGTTCAGTGTGATTGTCAGAGAGTTTTTCAGTGTGAAGATTAGAGATTGGTCAGTGTGATGATCAGTGAGTGTTCAGTGTGATGATCAGAGAGTGAACATTGTGATAATTAGAGTGTTCAGTGTGATGATCAGACAGACAGCGTCGTTACCAAACGTCTCCTACTGTGTTTTATGGTCTACACAGAAATCAACCCAGCACAGAACAAGAAGAGCATCAATGAGACAAAGTCTTACAGGAGTTCACTCTTCATTGAGGAGCCTCCACTTTAAAGACTTCTAATAAGACTGGTCTGGATTCTGTTCAGACCACAAGGTCGATGGAGACACTGTCAGACTTTCAGCTGTGAGTCAGTAAGTGTGTGTGTGTGTGTTGTGTGTGTGTGTGTTTATGTGTGTGTCTGAACAGTGAAATATATTGGATACTAAAAACTGATCTTTGACTGCTCACTTACTGGTATAAGTTGCATTGGTGGAAGTTGAAGTATTACCCGCTGCAGTTGATGTAGAGTCTGAAAGAGAGAATAAGAACGTGGTAACTTACATGTTCGACAAATAAGAATTTTTGATGATTTATTATAACTATTTATTAAAGAGGTAGATTTAGTATATTAAGTATCGTTTGATTTGAACATTTGAAATAATACAATTTCTAAAAAACAAACAATAAACTACTTTTTACACATTGCCTACAGCTGTCATAGTTATTGTCTAGTTTAGGTTAGTGTTAAAGCTTTTACACTCAACAGGTCTTTTACCCCCCAGACTTTAAGACTGTTAGAGGTACAGAGACGTCTAGAATTACTGTCACTGTTAGTAAAACTGTAAAGTATTAAACACTAGGACGCCTCACTGGGATGATTAGAGAGTGTTCAATGTGATGATCAGAGATTGTTCAGTCTGATGATTGGAGTGTTCAGGGTGATGATTAGAGAGTGTTCAGTGTGATGATTGGTGTGTTCAGAGTGATGATTAGAGATTGTTCAGTGTGATTATCAGAGAGTGTTCAGTGTGATGATTGGAGTGTTCAGTGGGATGATCGGAGTGTTCAGTGGGATGATCAGAGATTATTCAGTGTGATTATCAGTGAGTGTTCAATGTGATGATTAGAGATTGCTCAGTGTGATAATTGGAGTGTTCAGTGTGATGATTGGAATGTTCAGAGTAATGACTAGATTGTTTAATATGATGATTAGAGTTTGTTCATTATGATGATTAGAGAGTGTTCAGTGTGATGTTTGGAGTGTTCAGAGTGGTGATTAGAGAGTGTTCAGTGTGATGATTGGAGTGTTCAGGGTGATGATTCGATAGTGTTCACTGTGATTATCAAAGAGTGTTCAATGTGATGATTAGAGATTGTTCAGTGTGATGATTAGTGAGTGTTCAGTGTGATGATCAGAGAGTGAACATTGTGATAATTAGAGTGTTCAGTGTGATGATCAGACAGACAGCGTCGTTACCAAATGTCTCCTACTGTGTTTTATGGTCTACACAGAAATCAACCCAGCACAGAACAAGAAGAGCATCAATGAGCCAAAGTCTTACAGGAGTTCACTCTTCATTGAGGAGCCTCCACTTTAAAGACTTCTAATAAGACTGGTCTGGATTCTGTTCAGACCACAAGGTCGATGGAGACACTGTCAGACTTTCAGCTGTGTGTCAGTAAGTGTGTGTGTGTGTTTGTGTGTGTGTGTGTGTTTATGTGGGTGTCTGAACAGTGAAATATATTGGATACTAAAAACTGATCTTTGACTGCTCACTTACTGGTATAAGTTGCATTGGTGGAAGTTGAAGTATTACCCGCTGCAGTTGATGTAGAGTCTGAAAGAGAGAATAAGAACGTGGTAACTTACATGTTCGACAAATAAGAATTTTTGATGATTTATTATAACTATTTATTAAAGAGGTAGATTTAGTATATTAAGTATCGTTTGATTTGAACATTTGAAATAATACAATTTCTAAAAAACAAACAATAAACTACTTTTTACACATTGCCTACAGCTGTCATAGTTATTGTCTAGTTTAGGTTAGTGTTAAAGCTTTTACACTCAACAGGTCTTTTACCCCCCAGACTTTAAGTCTGTTAGAGGTACAGAGACGTCTAGAATTACTGTCACTGTTAGTAAAACTG